TTTCTGTTACACACACATACACATCTTAGTCTAATGTAAACATACTGCAGGCCATGGTTCAAAAAGTTTGAAAGCCATGGTTCCAGAAGTAGAACCATCTCTCTGAAGAGAACCTCATGCGAAAATAAAAAGCCCACAAGAAGAATAAGGGATATGGATCTGCAGCTTTCCCTGGGGTCTAGAACATTGCTATTGTCCTGCAATCAGCTTGGGGGTCAGGTCCCAGCTCTGCCACCTATAAAACGTGTGTGTAAGAAAAGTCACTGCACTATTGAGCCTTCCTTGTTTGTAAAGGAGAACTAAAATACCTTCATCTTCCTTACTTCACAAGATAGTTATGAGGATCAAAAATAATGTGAAATAACTCTGCTGACTACAAAACACTTTGCTGTTATTGTCATTTTATTTCAAACTATACAGCCAGATAGATGAAAAACAACTTACACAATGAGTATCAAAAATATGCCCAAGTCGCCGGGACCGGTTTGGCTCAATGGAGAGAGCCAAATGGATAGGCTTAGGGACTGAAGGGTCCCGGGTTCGATTCCGGTCAAGGGCATGTACCTTGGTTGCGGGCATATCCCCAGTAGGGGGTGTGCAAGAGGCAGCTGATCGATGACTCTCTCTCATCGATGTTTCTAACTCTCTATCCCTCTCCCTTCCTCTCTGTATAAAATCAATAAAATATATTATAAAAAAATATATATATGCCCAAGTCATTGCTACCCAATTGTGCGGGTAGACAAGCCAAATATACAAAGTTGTGGGGAAATATTAGGAAATTATTTCTTTAGAGAAAGGTAACTAGAAGAGGACAAATAATGAAACTATTCATTTGTATATACATATCTCAAGTAACACACGTGAGAAAATGGGCACAAAGAGGACTCAAAGCAAAAAAGAAAAATCACTAGTTTTGATGGGTAAGACTTAGAGGTAAAATGAATTGAGATAAAGGAACAATGAAGCATGTTTTCATATCATAAACTGCCTCCTAAGGCCAAAAGATGCACCAACTGTTATCCTTAAAGTGTAGTTCAATATCACCTCCTCCAGAACCCAACTACACACACCAGCCCTACCTATCTTTAAATGTCTCTAGCACTCGGTGTTTATATCTCTCATCTGACATACAACTAGTATTACTAGGCGGTATAAAACATATCATCCAAAATGAAGTCAGGAAAGGCAGCCTACTGGAAAGAAAGAAGTTTATTTCTCTGCCTTTAAGTCTAGGATTTAAAAGATCTATTAATTTAAAACTATGCACCCCTCCTGCCCCTTCAGTGTGTCTCAGTGGATGAGTGTTGACCTATGAACCAAGAGGTCATGGTTTGATTCCTGTTCAGGGCATATGCCCCAATTGGCTTTATCCCTAATAGGGGATGTGCAGAAGGAAGCCTATTGATGATTCTCTGTCATCACTGATGTTTCTATCTCTCTCTTCCTCTCTGAAATGAATAAAAATATATTTTTAAAAACAAAGAGAGAAACCAAGATGGTGGCATAGGTAAACACCTAAGCTTGCTGCCTCAGACAACTTCAAAACTACAACTAAAAGACAAAACGGCCGGGACCGGTTTGGCTCAATGGATAGAGCGTCGGCTTGGGGACTGAAAGGTCCCAGGTTCGATTCCGGTCAAGGGCATGTACCCTGGTTGCGGGCATATCCCCAGTAGGGGGTGTGCAAGAGGCAGCTGATCGATGACTCTCTCTCATCGATGTTTCTGACTCTCTATCTCTCTCCCTTCCTCTCTGTATAAAATCAATAAAATATATTAAAAAAAAAAAAGACAAAACGGACATCATCCAGAACCACAGGAAGGTTGGCTAAGTGGAAATTCTATAACTAGAAGGAAATAGAAAAGCACACCGAGACTCAGAGGAGCTGCAGAAGTAAAGTGCAGAGGTACGGAGGTGCGCACACAGAGAGGGCTGGCAACTGAGTATGTGGCTGGCTTTTTCAATCCGCAGGGAGACACAAGCTCCCAACTGCTCTGAACTCCAGTTCTAGGCAGGACTCTCCCTCTGTCTGGCAGCGGACAGAACTCAAGGGTGGCTTTCTCTCAGAGGTGTTTGCAGCAATTATCGAGGAACATTGAGACCTGAGGGCCTCTTAGAGCTGGGCTGAGGAGAAGCCATTGCTGTTTGCTCTGCCCTGAAACTCCAGCCCATCCAGCTGTACGCAGAGGCTTTTGCATATTGGCCTGGTCCTTTGAAATCTAAACTTACCTAACTGCAGCTGAGTCAGAGAGACCCAGAACATCCAAAAGAAGGCCCAAGGCCCCACAGCAGTTCACACTGCTTCACACTGGGCCTCACCTGGGCATCTCCAAAACCCAAACAAAAAAGAGGAATCTGCAGATTTCTCTGTAGCTCCTGCTGAGTGGCCTCAGGCAGAGGCTAAATTAGCACCTCCTTGGAGATCCAAGAGCCAGTGTACCCACTGGTCAGAGTGGGACCATCCAGATTACATCTCCTCAGTTCCATAAAGGACACACTCAGGGGGCAGACTCAGTGAGCAGCAAAGCCCCACTGAAGCAAGTCTTGCCTCATAAGGGTGTCTCCACCGCAGTTCTCCCAGTGGACACAGCTGATCCTCACAGCCAATTGGCCTGGAGATCAATTCCTCCCAGTGACACCAACAACAATCAAGGCTTAACTACAACAAGACTGTGCACACAGCCCACAAAGGGGTGCACCAAGAGTGTCCACCTCAGGTAATTGGGAAGGCTGAGCCACTGGACTCTATAGAACACCTAGCACAAAACTCTATCAACTCAGGAAAGCAGCCAAAATGCAGAGACAAAGAAGCAGGTCACACATGAAAGAAATGGAGGATATAGACTTCAAAAACCACGGTTATTAGGTTTTTCAAGAATTTTCTAGAAAAGGCCAATAAATTTAGTGAGACCTTGAGGATATGAAAAAGGACCAACTAGAAATTAAACCTACACTGACTGAAATAAGCAAAAAACACCCAACCAGGAAAGAAAAAAGAAAAAAGAATCCAAAAATATGAAGATAGTGTTTTGAGTCTCCAGGACAACTTCAAGAGTACCAACATCCAAATTATGGGAGTGCCAGAAGAAGAGAGAGGGCAAGATACTGAAAATCTATTTGAAGAAATAATGACCAAAAACTTCCCCCACCCGGTGAAAAAAATAAACTTACAAGTCCAGGAAGCACACAGAACCCCAAACAAAAGGAATCCAAAGAGAACCATACCAAGACACATCATAATTAAAATGCCAAGAGCAAAAGACAAAGAGAGAATATTAAAAGCAACAAGATAAAAACAGTTATCGAAAAGGGAGCACTCATGTGATTGTCAACTGATTTCTCAACAGAAATTATGCAGGCCAGACAGGAGTGGCAAGAAATATTCAAAGTGATGAATAGCAAGAATCTATAACCAAGATTATTCTACCCAGAAAAGATATCATTCAGAACTGAAGGGCAGATAAAGAGCTTCACAGATAAGAAAAGCTAAAGATAAAAATTATGAACAACAAATACATATCTATCAACAAATGAATCTAAAAATCAAGTGAATAAAAAATCTGATGAACAGAATAAACTGGTGAATATAATATAATCAGGGGCATAGAAAGGGAGTGGACTGACAATTCTTGGCAGGGGCGGGGGAGGAGGGAAGAACGTGGGCCGTACAGGAAGAGACTGGGCAAAAATCGTACACCTTCCAAAACTGGTTTGGCTCAGTGGATAGAGCATCTGCCTGCAGACTAAAGGGTCCCAGGTTCGATTCTAGTCAAGGGTATGTACCTTGGTTTCGGGCACATCCCCAGTAGAGTGTGTGCAAGAGGCAGCTTATCGATGATTCTCTCTCATCGATGTTTCTAACTCTCTGTTCCTCGCTCTCTTCCTCTCTGTAAAAAATCAATAAAATAAAAAGCTTAAGATTTAAAAAAAAAAATCTTATGCCTATGGATGAAGATGGGGGGAGAAAGACAGAGTGTGGGGTGGGAACCGGGTGGAGGGGAGTTATGGGGGTAAAAAAGAGGAACAATTGTAATAATCTGAATAAAGATTTATTTTAAAAAATAAAAACACAGAAAACTATGCACCCATCCTGATGGCAGGGGATCCACTGACCTCAACTCTATCTTTTCTGGCTTCTGGACAATAGGTAACTTATTATCTTCATGGGTAATTTAACTACAGGTCACTTTTATTTTTTATTTTTTTTAATATATTTTTATTGATTTTTTACAGAGAGGAAGGGAGAGAGATAGAGAGCTAGAAATGTCGATGAGAGAGAAACATCAACCAGCTGCCTCTTGCACACTCCCTACCGGGGATGTGCCCACAACCAATGTACATGTCCTTGACCGGAATCAAACCTGGGACCTTTCAGTCCACAGACCAATGCTCTACCACTGAGCCAAACCGGTTTCTGCTACAGGTCACTTTTAGTAAATATAAATTGTGTAAGGATCCAAACTGAACAGAATCCCAATATCCTAAATAATCCGATTAATACCAGAAGTATAGCCTATAGATTTAATATACTTCCTTTTTCTGTTACTACAAAATTATTTATAAGTGAATAAAATGATCTCTTCCTAATCAATCTTAGATGGTAATTTCATGAGGGTGATAATAGTACCATTATTTTAACCTTTTTTTTTTTTTTAAATATATTTTATTGATTTTGTATAGAGAGGAAGGGAGAGAGATAAGAGAGTTAGAAACATCAATGAGAGAGAGTCATCGATCAGCTGCCTCTTGCACACCCTCTACTGGGGATATGCCCGCAACCAAGGTACATGCCCTTGACCGGAATCGAACCTGGGACCTTTCAGTTCCCAAGCCGACGCTCTATCCATTGAGCCAAACCGGTTTCGGCCATCATTTTAACTTCTAACATATGTTTTGTGACTCAATAAATATGATATAAAAAAAAAACCCTCAAAGACGGGTGGAGTGGGGTGGGGGGAGGCAGGACCTTTACCTCCACTCAATCCACATTTGCCTACCTCTTGCAGTGTCAACAAAGTATTAAGAATTGCTGGTAGTGTAGTCTGGACAACTCCAAATCTATCTTCTGTAAATGACGCTGCTACTAAGTGTGACAAACCTCAAAGAGAAAACAAAAAAGTTAAAAGTGAATTAAAATTAGGGAAATCTACTTGCATATACGAACTGGACAATGGACTGATACTCTTAATATATAACGAACTTCTAAATAAAAGAGAGGAGGTAATACAACGGAAAAATGGGCAGAGATCAGAACAGGCACTGGAACGGTGTTTAGCTGCAGTAGTCATGAATAAGATGATAGTCTGCTTTATGTTCTAGTAACAAACAGCTTTTCTAAACGATGCTGCATTAGGTAGTGATAAGTGACAGGAAGAAAAACAAAGCATAATAAGAGAATGCAGTCAGGTTATGAGGATACTTTTCATTAGGGGTCAGGAAAGACCTCTCTGAAGAAGTATCATTTAAGCTATGAGAAGGCAGATCTATAATATAGATATGTAAGTTCTTAACAACTAAATTTACATATTTAATCTAAGCTAAATGTTAGAATATATTAAATATTAAGTTATGTCAACATAAATTGAGTGTTAAAAATAATTTATCTATTGCAGTTTTTTTGAAGGAGAGAGAAAGATATGCAAGAACCCCTGGTCCAGTTTCTCTGCTTATGTATTATACAAGGAAAATTTCTGCCCAGATTAAAGTACACCTAAATATTTAAGAATAACAATTTAGATAGAACAAAGATATAAAAATGTATCTGAAAACTCAAAGATTGAGATCAAAGGCCAGAACTGACCTTATATGGATTACACTTCAATATTTAACTGATAATTAAAATCATTTCAGCAGGTCACTGAAATTAAATTACTTACCTTCCAAAGCCCAAATATGCATTTGGGCATCTGCAAAAACAGCCTGAATGGAGGCCTCTGGGTGCTACAAATACAACAAAAACATTTAAGTTAGTTCCACTGGGCAAAAACTCTTATTTCATCTAATCATCTATGTATTGTTTCATAACAATAGAAAATGCACAGCTGTCTCTTAAGAATTAAAATCTAAAATTCTTATATAATGTGATCTAACTGTAATAAAGCATTCGGCCACCAACTTATTATGTGACCCTTGCCAAGTCCCTAAATCTCTACGTGCCTCAGTTTCTCATTTAAAATAAGAGTTGCACACATTCAACCCATCTTAGAGGATTAGTATAGAGATCAGTTAAAGAATGGCTATACAAGCTTTCTTCAAAAATAAAGAACTACCTAAGTACATACTACTTTTCTTGAATTGTCTACCTCAACCCCACTCCAAAGAAAAACCACCCAACTCTTTAATATAATAAAACTGAATAGTATGGAGCAACAAACAATAGCCCATTTAAACAAATACTGGCTTTGGTAATGCACCTAATGAAGTCTACGAAGTACAACAGCACATTAGATCTCTCAACATCAAAGAGCACGGTCTATAACTCCTTATCATACAATAGATCCACTTGCAAAGCTAGAATCAAAAGCAGCCTTCACTTCCAAGGAAAAAAGGAGATCTTGCTCAGCCTCTGCCTGCCACCTATTGGCTATGCACCCTTAGACTAGCTACTTGACCTCTCTGAGCCTCAGGTTTCCTTATCAGTAAAATGAGGACAAAAAAACAAAAACAACTCACAGGAATGCTGTTAGAATTACATGAGGGAACTTAAGTGAAAAGAGCATGGGGTACATCTTTCGAAACAAAGCACTAAAGTAAAACTTCAGACAATTCCTCTTCCTGTAGGTTGAAGACACCTCTAGGGGTCGCATAGTTTTCCCAAACCTCTATGGTTGATTATTTTTTATAAAGGTAATTGCTAGAGCAGTGTTTCCCAAACTTTTGACAGATGTGTACCCCTTCTATAATTTTTGTAATGCTGAGTACCCTCGTAGTCATGAGAACGTAGAATTATGTGCAGCTAATTATGGTGCAGTGCATATCCCCACCAAACTCTGGTGCAATGCATACCCCCACCAAACTCTTCTCGTACCCCTGGGGGTACGCGTACCACACTTTGGGAAACACTGTGCTAGAGGATGCCTCTTCCCTGCCACATTAGTGTGTGTGTGTGTGTGTGTGTGTGTGTGTGTGTGTGTGTGTGTGTGTTTGGGGGTGGGGGCAGTTTCAAGAACTTCAAGTGTTTCTTTGTTATATGTATCTATATTATATCACAGTTACTCAGATCTTTCTCCCCACAAGCGTATACTCCCAAAGAATAAAAATAATGTGTGTCAATGCAAACTACCACTTCAAGGCATAATTCAGTGCAATATTAGCTAATAATACAATATCTTCAGAAAGAGAGAAGCTAGATTTAAAAAGAGAACAAAACAAACACTCTTTCCCCTACATAAGGACAAAGGCTTTTCCTCATCAAAGGATTAGTTAACACACAACAGCTGTAGCCAGTGAAAACAGGAATGAATTTTCAGCTTCTGCAATTGAGATTTACTCTCTTATGGCAGCTGGGGCAAGCAGCTGAGAGACAAGCTGGAAAGTCTTTTAGTCTGTGGCCTGAATTACAACTTTTTATGCAACACAAGTTTAACATCTTCAACCTAACCGTTATCTCCATTCTGAAGAGCAAATTGGCCACAAAGATGTTAGCAGGACAATGAAACATATAGGAACACCATGGATTTGTTCATTTTGCAGAATGGGGTTGTAGATCAGCACAAAGCTATCTGCAGCCAAGAGACTCAGTAGCCAACTACATATTCTTACCTTACTGAAAAAATACATTATCAGCACCCGTTTTGACATGAAATTCTTAATCTGAGTTGGGGGGAGAAAAAAAAATGAACACATTGAGTTTTCCAATCTATTCAAATGTAGTATCACATATTTCCAGGTTCTCCCTAATATTAACTTAAATAAAAACACTTCCTCTCTTACAGAGAACAGTATTTACAATAATCCATGTAAGGAAATACATTTGTACAATAAAATGGATAATCGAGATGGGCCATCTAACCTAAATTGCATTCCTATGTATACATGTCTAAACCCCCAAATAAAGACATTTCATAATTAAAGGAATTTTCAGTGGTTCTGATAATATTTTCTGAGACTATATTCTTTCTCAATTCTCTAGGGCTATCGTGCCCTTAAATCTCCTAATATCAAAAAAGAGCATGTTTTCACCTACCCCATCTTCAAATCTTAGTTTGTTGTTTTCTACTAGTTGACATTTATAGAAAAAACAATTTCTTAGTATTATAAACTGACAGTATTTGTGGCTTATAGAGCAATATGTGATACTGAAGTCTGTAAAATGCCTTCAGTTCTTCCTCCTATTAATTGATCCTTCCATCAGCAAACGTAATTATTTCCCCCATCTTTAAAAAGTAATACCCTTCCTTGATCCCTCAACTCCCACCAGTATTTATCCCATTTTCCTGCTCCATTTATAGCAAAACTCCTGGAAAGATCTGGCTTTTCTTGTGGTCTCCAATTCCTCTCTTACTCTCTCCTGGCCCAATGCCAATCAACCATTCATTCCCCCTACTCCATCCAATAGCTCTTGACAAGGACTCAATGACCTGCCCATTGCAACAGTTCATTAACAGTTTGAATCTCATGCTACTTATTACCAGCAGTATCTGACACTCACTTCTCCTTGGAACACTTTTTTCTTGGTTCTCTTCTCACCTCAATAGCCACTTGGTCTCTTGCTATCCTTCATCTACCAGACCTTTAGTCATTGGAGGGTCCTAGTTCTTGCATCTCTTTTCTTCTGTATCTACACTCCCCAAGCGTTTTCATGGAGTTTCATGGTTTTAAATACTGTCTATACTCTGATGACTTCAAATTTTAATTTCTTTTTTTTTTTCTTTTTTGGTGAATCCTCACCAGAGGATATTTTTCCACTGATTTTTAGAGAGTGGAAAGGAGAAAGAGGGACAGAAACATCGATATAAGAAAGACACATAGATTGGTTGCCTCCCGCACAGGGCCTGATCAGAGGCCAGGGATTGAGCCTGCAACCAAGATATGTACCCTGGAACAGAATCAAACTCGGGACGCTTCAGTCCGCAGGATGACACTCTGTGTACTGAACCAAACAATTAGGGCCAAATTTACATTTCTAGCACAGAACTTTCTCCATACTTTAGAAATATGTCTAATTTCTTACTCAGTATTTTCCATTGGCTATGTGCCAAGATGTTTAAATTAACATGTTTAAAATCAAATTCCAAATTTCTCCACTTCATCTCCATCAAATCACTTCTTGCAGAACCATTAGCAAATTGCACTCAATAAATTGTAACTATATTATTTCAGATTCTTTGGGCCAAAAACTGTAAAGTCAATATTTACTCTATTTTACACACCACAACTAAATCATAAGCAAATCCTATTGCACCTACTTTCAAAATACATCCAGACCTCGATCAGACCTCCACCACAACCACTCTGGTCACAGACACCACCACCTTGCACTAAACTATCGATACTTCAAGAGCTTTACTATTGCCTCTGCTTCTATCCCTGCCCTCTGAGAATGTAATCTCAACATGGCAGTTAGAGAAGTACTTTCAAAGTACAAGGTTAAATCATGTCATTCTTGTGGGCAAAGCCATACAATGGCTTTCCATCTCACTCAAAGAAAATGTCAGTCCTATACAATCCTAATGGGCCAGATGAGCTCTGGGTGCCTGCTACCCCTGTGATCTCACCGCCCACCTACCTGCCACTTTCCCGTCACTCATTCGGCTCCAGCCATACTTTGTGTCCATATTCCTCACACTAACCAACCAAAACCAGTTAACAATTGGAAATTTCATATGGGACAACTTACTATATGAAGCATCAAAAGAAAAATCCTATTTATTTCTTATGGATTACTCATTTGAAATCCTTTATGCTCTCAATATACATGCCAAATATAAATCCTATATCATATCATCTTACCTGTTCATGTTTATTCTGAATCCATGAATAAATCACACTGGGCTGTCTCATTGTCTTACCCTCAGCACTAAGAGTAGATGCAAGATTGGAAAATCCATTCATTTGCTGATCTAATAATTAAAAAAAAAAAAAGTGAACACTTAGGCTATCTGATTCTCTGCAACTCTGACATTTCAAATTTTAGAAAATAAACAGTCCTCACCAGGGGTAGAAGACCATAACCTTGGCCCTCTTCTTATTAGCTGAGAACTTTCAGGTGACCCATAGCCAGTGGTTGCATCAAAAGTTCCAGCCATCCGATTTATCACAGTAGAGCCAAAAGGAGGTCCAAGGGGACTTGAAATTTCAGGTGTAGATAATTTTGGGGAAAACAGTGATGTCTTAACTGACGGTGGCACTGAAGACCGAGGCATCTGACTAGATTTTGGGGTCTGAAAAGTAGTTTCTTCTGCAAAAGAACAGATAGAGTGCTGAAGGGGCAAGCTGGTCCAAACAGGCTAATATGAGGGTTCTCAAATTTTATACATCTTAATTTTTTATTTAACGTATTACCCAAGGCTCAGTAGGTTGTTTCCATTTAGGTTTACATTCTCAAGATCCTGGTTTTACTGCTGCAACTCAATGATCACTCAAGGAGGTTTAAACATCTTTTTCTGTCACACCGGTACAGCCTCTCTTGTCTTCCCCTCCCCCCCCACAAATATGCTCATCGTCAAGGTCAGTTTCTCTAGGCCCATGGTTGGCAAACTGCAGTTCAAGAGCCACATGCAACTCTTTGGCTCTTCCACTAAATAACCACGGCCTGGGCGAGTCTATTTTGAAGAAGTGGCGTTAGAAGTAGTTTAAGTTTAAAAACTTTGGCTCTCAAAAGAAATTTTGTCGTCGTACTGTTGATATTTGGCTCTATTGATTAATGAGTTTGCCAACCACTGCTCTAGGCTGTTTTGAAATAAACTTCTCAATTTGTATTTTTTTTTGTTATACTAGAGGCCTCATGCACGAAATTCATACACTGGAGGGAGTGGGGGAGATTCCTCAGACCAGCCTGCACCCTCTTGCAGTCCGGGACCCATCAGGGGATATCCAGTCAGACGTTCCTCTCACAGTCCGGGATCCCTCACTCCTTAGCGCCCACCTGCCTGCTGCTTCTTAGCGCTGGCACAGAGGTGGGAGAGGCTCCTGCCACTGCCGCTGTACTAGCCAGCCAGAAGCTGGACTCACTGCTCCTTAGTGCTTCCGCAGAGGTGGAAGGGGCTCTCATCACTACCACTGCACTCGCCAGCCACGAGCCCAGCTTCTGGCTGAGCAGCACTTGCCCTGTGGAAACGCACTGACCACCAGGGGGCAGCTCCTGCATTAAGCGTCTGCCCCCTGGTGGTCAGTGAGCATAATAGCAACCAGTCGTTTTGATTGTTCCAATGAAATGATCGCTTAGGCTTTTATTATACAGATAGATGGAAATAACTTTAATTATTGCATTAGAACCTTTCCAGTTTTACTGCACCCTCCTTCTATGACAATTACTTCGTTAAACATAACTAAAATTATATTATGAAAATGTACAAATCAGAGTGCTAACCTTATCCCATTTTCCCCAGAATTCTTTCAAAGTCACACCAAAGACCAATTTGCCCAGAATACGTACACATCTGACTCTAGAAATCTGATCTGCAAATAGCTTCTTCACAAATTATAAGTCTGGTTATTTAGTTATAGAGTTTGGTATAAAAACAAAGGAACATTTTTCCTGCCACACCAGTCAGCATTAGGTACAAAGACAAGAGTACAAACTAGTATTCTATCTTCTTAATAAAACCACATAAGACATTAAACATTTAAAGTACATTTTCATTTCACGACTTTTTAAAGAGTTGGTGGCAAACAGAAATCTTTGAAAAATCAATTTAAAAATTAAGACTTGAGTTTTTAAGTTCTGCAATAGTTCCTCAAATTTAGAAGCAAATTTTGCCCATTTGATGGGATATGACAACTTAAAAAAAAACAAAAAACCATTTAGACCCATGATCTCTCCAATCCAATGTTACAATCATCTTTATAGCATGATTATTTTATGTAAATAGGCATTTCAAAATCTTCAACTGGTTCCATACCCCAATGAGATAAAATCTAAACTGTTTTTTAACAAGCAAGACCTCCTTTTATTAACAAATATCATCTTATCCGTGCAGGCTCCTTTTTGACAGATTTCTATTTAGTAGTTACATCCTATATAATAAAAGCCTGATCTGCTAAGTGTCTGGTCAACCAGTCGGCTGTTCAATCAAAGCATAATATGCTAATGAATGCTAAGGCCGCTCAACTGCTGAGACATGCAGTACCACCAGGGCAGACAGTCAACTGGTCGACCAATTGCTATGACATGCACTGACCACCAAGGGACAGACGCTCCAACCAGTAGGTTAGCTTACTGCTGGGGTTCGGCTGATCGGAACTGAACGAGACAGGCCAGACATGCCCTGGAGCCCTCCTGTAGTCCCTCCCCAGCTGGCCAACCTCTCACGTCTCTCCCCAGCCCTGATCATGCACCAGTGGGGTCCCACAGCCTAAATTGTGCCCTCTCGCAATCCAGGACCCCTCAGGGGATGTTGGAGATGATTTCGGTCCAATCCCACAGGCCAGGCCAAGGAACCTCATTGGTGCACAAATTCATGAACCAGACCTCTCGTTTTCTTATATTTGTATGCCTCCCACTAAATAGGAATTCCAAGAGTGTTCTGTCATCTTTGATTCTCTCGCTTCTAGTGCATTGCTTGGCATCCAATAAATATCTATCTATCTATCTATCTATCTATCTATCTATCTATCTATCTATCTAAGCCTAAGTGACTGTTATGACTGAACAACCAGAACAACCAAATGACCAGCCAGTAGCTATGACATGCACTGATCCAGACATTACCGCTGGGGCCTTGTCAGCCCTGAATCGGGTTCACCAGACAAGAGGAAGGAGAGAGCCCAACTCCTCGCAGAATTAGCCGTGCCTTACCTTGCTGCTAGGGCCCTGACAGCCCCAAATCTGGTTCACCCGGACCCAAAAAAGACAAATGAGGGAGCCCGATTCCTCATAGATTTGACTGTTGGTTAGCTTGCAGTTGGGGCCCTGACAGCCCCAAATCTGGTTCACCCACACCCCAGACCCAGACAGGAGGGAGGAGGGAGGAGGGAGCCCAATTCCTTGCGGTATTTCCATGATCCCGTCCCTCTTCCCCCGCTGCAGGCCAGCCTCTCTCAAAGCCCCAATCGCCAGCGAGGCCGAAGGACCCCTCCCGTGCAGGAATTCGTGCACTGGGCCTCTAGTATCTACATATATAAAAGTCTAAGTGGCCAGTCGACCATTCACCAGGTACCTATGACATGCACTGACCACCAGGGGCAGACGCTTTGACCAGTAGGTTAGCTTCCTGCTGGGGTCAAGCCAATCAAGGATGGGTGAGATGGGCCGGACACACCTTGGAGCCCTACCTGGCCCCAATTGTACACCAGTGGGGTCCTGGATTGCGAGAGGGTGCAGGTCAGGCCAAAGGACCCTACTGGTGCACGAATCCATGCACTGAACTTCTAGTTCCATATATAAATGCTAATCTGAAAGATGATAACATATGAAATACTCTAGAACCTTTGAAAATCTGACATCCATGAACTTATTTCAATCATTTTTCAACTGTAATCTTATTTGTTTTGGGTATATGGAAGAGTTCACATAACATTGCTTTTTAATTTCAGGATTCTCTTTAAAAACAAAACAAAAAATCACAAATTCAGATAATGGGTCCAAATTCTCTCATGAGAATAATGGACTAAATCTAACCCATAGCTTCCCCCTTCAGATGAAACCTGTGCTCCCAAGTTTATCACTATCTCCACCTAACCAGTTTCGCCCACTTTTACTAAATGCCTAGCTCCAAAAAGCATCTGAACATTAAGACCTTTATTTAAAGTTTTACAGCCCTAGGCATTTTCTACTTAAGGGATTTGGTGAAAAAGCCTAAGTTCCTCCATTTTGAATCACCATCGCACTGGACTTAATTTTCCTGACCTACAATGATACCCAGTTCTTATTCCTGGTACAGTGCAATATCCCATATATTGAATCAACTTCCCCAACTTTACATGTATCTCACACTCATACACATATCTTTAGATTAACTACCATCACTTTTCGTAGGAAAATAAAATGCAAATGTATCCCCCCCTCTTAGCAGAATAAGCAGTTACCTGGAATATTCATTTTCTTAGGCTCCACTGAGTATGAGGAAGACATTACTCTTCCATTCGTTGCAGCAGCTTCTTGGTAGAGAACCAATTTTTGAGTCATATCATTTAAAAGATTCAAACACTCCCTTGAAATGGCCGTCCAATTGTGGGGATGTCCACCTAAGAGGTCCAAACACCAACTTTTAAAACGTATATAATTGCATAGTCCCTCAAATGAGGAGAAAAATCAGTTAGAAATGCTACATTAGACTTTGCATCAGGGCCCAGTTTTCTCAATTAAGCAACTATTTATATTCATATTCATGCCATCTAATGCACAGTTCAATAAGTATTTGGATGAAATAATTTCCCCCAAAGTCTACAAGCAAAAAGTTGCTACTTACTCAAGACTAAGACAACAAACACTGGCATGTCTAATGAGATGTATACCATGGCCCCTGGTGACCTCTAAAATTGTTGTAACTGAACCACTGTGCTTCCTTATATATTCATTTGTATAATAGTCCCTATTTGCTATTATATCCATAGGAGTTAGACATTACTTGGTAATAATCACACTTTATAACTGAAGAATTTACATGTCTGTTGAATATTTAAATTGAGCTATATGACCCATATTCTTCTTTCTCATTATCTTTTGATTTTCTAAGACTTTTACCTCCTAGGGCTGTCATGTAAAATCAACTATACTTCATTATGTGTTGAGAATACAGGGGTCCACTGAAAATCGGTTTCCCCATCCTGGTGCCAATCATCCTCTTCTACTTAGATCCCCCCCTTAAACATTTCCCTTTTACAACTCAAGAGGAACACTGCTTCACTTGCAAGCTAACAACATATTCCATTAGCAGGCCCTAGAATGTTTTATACTGCTGTAACTCAGGACCACTAGGGAACTACATAATGGTCCAGTTAAATTTTAATAATATACCCTAGAATAAAAGTTCTCTGGCAGAGAACATACCACCTTGTTACATGTTACCTGAATATCTGGTGAAAATATTTAATGTACAGAGAATTCCTAGCCCCAGCCAGTTTTGCTCAATGGGTAGAGCGTCAGCCTAGGGACTAAAAGGTCCCAGGTTCAATACTGGTCAAGGGGACATGCCTGGGTTGTGGGCTTGATCATCAGTAGGGGGCATGCAGGAGGCAGCCGATCAATGATTTTCTCATCATTGATGTTTCTCTCTCTCCTTCTCCTTTCCTCTCCAAAATCAATGAAATACATATATTTAAAAAATTAGATAATTCCTAAGTGAACCCAAGTCTGATAGAAAACTATTGCTATAGTTATTCTCCACATAAGCACTAGATTTTTCATGTTACTAAAGGAGAGTAGCTTCAATCATTTACATTTTTATATAACTCGATTTTATTTCCATGTAACAACTAACTATAAATAAGGTTTATTTTATAATCTGGGAATGGACAAGTTTAGCGAAATAATGAAGAGCTAATTAGAGACGGTAAAAAGCTACCCAGTTCTCTGTCCCCGTGTTGGCTAAGGATGTTTCTTTTTCTGCCTAAATATAAGGCACAATTACAGTCTTGAAGAGGTTGGCAAGTAAGAGAGTCACCAACACCATCTTTGGGTCACCATCAAATCTAGGTCCTTTCTAATTTTTTTTTAAAGGAGGCAGAATAGCATTGCAGGAAGGGGAGCTCTGAACATGGGAATCAAATTTCTTATTCCAACCCTGACATTAACTTTATTTAAGCCACTTATTTTCTATGAGAATTAGGTCTCCCATCTAGAGATTAGACCACCTGACATTTAAGACCCCCTGTAGCATTAAAACTTTTAGGATTCTTAAACTGCATTCTCATTCTAAAATTGTCTACTTCATACTAGTGGTTTCCTCAAGTTAAGAGATTAAGAGGGCTGAAGAAAATAACATAAAATTTTAAAAATACCTTTCCTGATGACACAAGTTCTAACCACAACAACATAAACACTTTTTTTTTATTTACAAGATTTAAATCATGACTTCATTTAATGGATTCATTCATATGTGATATTTTATTAAATAATAGAGGCCTGGTGCATGAAATTCATGCACTGGGGGCGGGGGAGGGAGGAGAGAAAGGGGGAGGAGGAGGAGGAGATCCCTCAGTCTGGCCCGCGTCCTCTCGCAGTCCGGGAGTCCTTGGGGGATGTCCGACTGACATGGAAGTGGGAGAGGCTCCCGCCACCACCACTGTGCGCACCAGCCAGGCTTCTGGGGGAGCATAGTGACCACCAGGGGCAGCTACTACTTTCAGCATCTTCCCCAATGATCAGTGCGCTTCATAGTGACCGGTTATTCCACCGTTCAGTATATTATATAGGATAACTATCCCAACAAAAAGTTTAAATAGAACACTTTCTACACACACATGCCTCGTCAAGTCTATTACTTTTAGCATTACCTGGTTGACTAAGACTAAAAACTTCTTGTCTTCGTGAAGGAGAATATTGAGAAAGCAACATCAGGTCCTGTAAGGCCAAATACTAAAAGGGGAGAAAAACATAGTTTACTTTTTTAAATATTTACATAAAATCTTACTTATAAGTTGGGCTCAACATGATATATATAAGGGGAAATCAGTTGAAATTTTTCATAAAGAAAATAATATTTAATCCGGCTTGGCTCAGTGGATTGAGTGTCAGCCTGCAGAATCGAATTCGATTCCAGCCAAGGGCACATGCTTGGGTTGCGGGCTCCACCCCCAATAGGGGGTGTGCTGGAGGCAGCCAATCAATGATTCTCTCTCATCATTGATGTTTCTATCTCTCTCTCCTCTCTGAAATCAATAAAGAAATATATTACAAAATAAAATAATATTTAACCTTCCTTTTTAGATTACCAGAATTTTCCTATCTCTGTCCTCTACATTAACTTTATTTAAGCCACTTATTTATTTAGCAAAATAATAGAGCTAATTAGAGAGACAGTTTCTTCTTGGGATCAACATAAGGAAGCTTCACAAAAGTATGGTCTCTCGAATGATAAGTGAAGAGGTTTGACAAGGAACAAAATGAAATTTTTTTGTAAGAAAGTAATACAGACATTGCAGAGTGTCATGATGGTGTCATGATGAGTAAGATGTAGCACAGCCTAATTGAAAAGGCAGATGCAAAAAATAATGAAAATTTACTAAAGTAAGTAAAGTTTGAACCACTTATTCTTCTTGGGACCAAATGATGGTCCTCGAACCACTCGTAGTCTGTGAGGTCCTAAAGGTTGGCAACCGCTGCTCTATAGGATACCCCACCCACTACAGATCTCCGCTACACAGAACCACAGAACTCCCTGTGTTCTTTCCCATCTCTGTGGTGGAAAACATAAACATCACTTCCTCCTGGAACTTTTCCTGGCCTCCCTCAACAAACATACTATACACTACAGTTCTCAACTGTGGCACTTAACATAATTTATTGTAATTACCTATTTACTTGTCTCACCTGTTCCACCAAATTGTGAGGCAGGAACAAAGTATTGCGTGCTATCGCATTCGAAGTCAGTGCCTAGCTCACAGTAGACATGCAATGTCTGTAGTACTTTCTTACCAAAAAATTTCATTTTTGTTCCCTGTCAAACCTCTCCACTCATCATTCAAGAGACCATACCTTTTGTGAAGCTTCCTTATGTTGGTCCCAAGAAGAATAAGTGGTTCAAACTTTACTTACTTTAATAAATTTTCATTATTTTGTGCATCTGCCTTTTCAATTAGGCTGTGCTACATCTTACTCATCATGACACCCTACATAACTAGCAGTGACTGACACCTGCCCAATAAAGATTTGTTAAGTCGATGTTAGGTATTTTTATTTAATTAGTCCTAATTGATGATTAAAGGTCATCAAATCCTCAGTGGTTTCTTTTCTTATTGGTTTATAACTTTTCCAGTACAATCAAAACTATGAAGTCTAACTATTTCAATTCTCTTTTAATTACTATGACCTCTTAACAGGATCACATATATTGTAGATCTACTTTAAAATTTCAAAATGTGTCGAAACCGGTTTGGCTCAGTGGATAGAGCGTCGGCCTGCAGACTGAAAGGTCCCGGGTTCGATTCCGGTCAAGGGCATGTACCTGGGTTGTGGGCACATCCCCAATAGGAGGTGTGCAGGAGGCAGCTGATCTGTGATTCTCTCTCATTGATGTTTCTAACCCTCTATCTCTCTCCTTTCCTCTCTGTAAAAAATCAATAAAATATATATTTTAAAATTTCAAAATGCAATTTAAGTCAAAACAATTTATTCTCTTTAATTTTATTTGTAAATTTATTGCAACTTCTTTAAACTCTTTTAGATTAAAATTTAAGATCACCAAAACCGGTTTGGCTCAGTGGTAGAGCGTTGGTCTACAGATTGAAAGATCCCAGGTTCGATTCCGGTTGAGGGCATTGGTTGCGGGCACACCCCCAGTGGGGGGTGTGCAAGAGGCAGCTGGTCGATGTTTCTCTCTCATCAATGTTTCTAGCTCTCTATCTCTCTCCCTTCCTCTCTGTAAAAAAGTAATAAAATATATATTTTAAAAAAATTTATTTTAAGATCATAATTATTATTCATATCTTCAGAGAGTTCACTGAATGTCTACACACTACCAAGCACTACCTATACTCATAATGGCCAACAATACTACATGAGTGAAAATACATACTGATCTAGTGATTTTAAAAAATCAATAGCGCTTTGTTTTGCTACCATGAGGAGTTTGTGAAAAGCTAATGCATATAATCATATTTTATGTGTGGAAATATTTTTATACCTATTCTGATATAGATTAGCTTAACATTGTACACATGCATTACAGTATATACATTCATTTTAGTCACTTGGAAAAAAAACTGAAAAAGTAAACAGCATTCAATGTAGCATGTAACTGATTTTTACAATAAAAGTTTTAGAGTATATGCTAGGCCCTCAAAAATATAATACCTAAATATATTATATATTAAGTCCTTCTCTAAGATAAGTTAGAGATGACTGGGTAAAGATAAAAAATGCACAGTTCTGGTACCTTTATGATGAGGGGTGGATTACTGTTTAAGACTTTTGGGAGGCATTCATCTGACTCTTCCGCAAATGGTGGTTGAACAGGGAACAGATGAGCCTATCAAACATAATCAAAAGGACTATGAATGTGAGTATTTTCATGGCTTTATTATAGTCAGTAAGTACTAACTGATATTAGTTATTAAAAAAAGAGACCAAATTAACATCTTTACTGTTCCTTGCAAATAGGTTGTGTTAAAGATATTTCTATACCCAGACATACTAAAATTTTATTAGATCTCTGGTTTCCAATAATGAAACAAATTTTAGAAGCAAAGATTCTTTGAAGCCATTAAAAAATATAAACCTACAGAGATGGTAAAATGAAACCAAAACACTCATTTTCCAAGACAAACACTTGGATGATAAAGACAATGTAAATCCCATCCATTTAAAAACATTTCTTCAGATTTGTATGCATGCATACAAGCATAACCAATGGACAAAACACTCTGGGGAGGGAGGGCATGTATGGGAGTGGGGGTGGGGTGGGGATTAGTAAGGTATGTACACATATAATACTTTAATTTAAAAAATGAGAAAAAATAAATAAAATAAATTAGGAAAAAGAAAAAAGAAAAACATTTCTTCAGCTGAGGCCAGTTTGGCTCAGTGGATAGAGCATCAGCCTGCAGACTGAAAGGTCCCAAGTTCGATTCCGGTCAAGGGCATGTACCTTGATTGCGGGCACATCCCCAGTGGGGGGTTGCAGGAGGCGGCTGATTGATGTTTCTCTCTCATCGATGTTTCTAACTCTCTATCCCTCTCCCTAAAAAAAAAAATCAATAAAATATATATATATTTTTTAAATTTCTTCTGCCCTGGCTTGGTGGCTTGGTTGTTGGAACCTAGTCCCATACACTAGAGGAGTTCAATTCCCAGTCAGGGCACACACCTATGTTGCGGGTTCAATCCCTGGTAAGGGCATGTACAAAAGGCAACTGATTGATTTTTCTCTTTCACATCAATGTTTTTCTCTCTCTCGCTTCCTCTCTCTCTAAAAATCAATAAAAACATATCCTCAGATGAGGATTAAAATCCTATATAATAAAAGGGTAATATGGCCCTGACCAGTTTGGCTCAGTGGATAGAGTGTCAGCCTGCGGACTGAAAGGTCCCAGGTCAAATTATGGTCAAGGGCATATACCTTGGTTGCAGAGACATCCCCAGTGGGGAGTGTACAGGAGGAAGCTGATCAATGTTTCTCTCTCATTGATGTCTCTAACTCTCTATCCCTCTCCCTTCCTCTCTGTAAAAAATTAATAAAATGCCCAGCCAGATTTAGCTCAGCAGTTGGGCGTCAATCGAGGAACCAAGGGGTCACCAATTTCCTTGATCCCCAGTGTGCGGTGTGCAGGAGATAGCCAATCAATGATTCTTTCTCATCATTGATGAGATGTTTCTCTCTCTCCCTCCCTCTCCCTTCCTCTCTGAAATCAATAAAAATATATTTTAAAAATTAATAAAATATATATATTTTTAGAAGGCCTAACATGCAAATTATCCCCTCACCCATAGTTCAACTGGAATTTGACTAGGGGCGGGGTCGGCCCACCAACTGCCCAGGACTCCTCCCCTTGGCCAGTTCCATGTCCAATTGTCCCCCACCCCATCAGGGGCGGGGCCAGCCCACCAACCACCCATGACCCCTGGCCAGCCCCGTCCCCTATCTCCACCCACACCCCCCCACGCCGGCCAACCTCCCACATCCCGTCCCCCACAGCCAGCCCCATGAATTCGTGCACTGGGCCTCTAGTTATATATATATATATATATATATATATATATATATATATATATATATAAAAACATTTCTTCAATATATTTTTGTATACATCCTTACCAGTATTGTTATCTCTTGTCATTTTTTAAAATATTTTTAATTGATTTTAGAGAGAAAAGAAGGGAGAGGGATGGAGTGATAGAAACATTAGTGAGAGAAACGCCCATAAGCTGCCTCTGCACACCCCCTACTAGGGATCAAGCCCGCAACCAAGGCATGCGTCCTGAATGGGAATCGATATGATGACCTCCTGGTTCATGTGCTGAAGTTTACCACTGAGCCACACCCTCGGCTTCAATATACATTTTTAAAGTTTCATTCAAAGAACAAATATTTTATTGCCTTACATTTAAATAATTTAGTAGTATCTATATCAATAGCACATAACAATACTTTAAAATTCAGGCCTCTCTAGTATGTACTCAACAGAGAAATGAAAACCTTCAGAAGAGAATTCGATTATAGGTTAAGCATAGTAAACAGATACCATTAAACCTCCATTCAATTCAGTTTCCAATAATACCAACATTGTTCCTCGTTATATAACAACAACAGCCCTAACTTGTTTGGCTCAGTGGATAGAGCATTGGCCCAAGGACTGAAGGGATCCAGGTTTGATTCCAGTCAAAGGCACATACTTCAGTTGCAGGCTCAATCCCCATGCTGGAAGCAACCAATCAATGTGTACTTCTCACTCGCTCCCACCCTTCTATTCTGATTAAAAATCAATGGAAAAAATATCCTCGGATGAGAATTAACAAACAATAGCAACAAAGTAAAAGAAGGTTAATAAATGATGCATCCCTAGTGAAGTCTCAGAAAAGAGATCAAAACCCAATTTATCAAAATGCTTTGGGCATAACAGCCTGCTGATCAGTGCTCTACTAAAAATAAATCTGTGTAGTACTCCAAAATATAAATGTATTAACAAAAAAATCAGGACTAACCTCTGTGGCATAGATTTTGAAGAGTATCCACGAGATGTACCAAGTCATCAGAAGAAAGACTCCACATAACCAGACATGGTAGAGTAATGAGAGATTCAAGAGGCCACTCACAGTATCAAGAGGCCTATGAAATTGCCTATGAAAACAAAAATTACTTCTTAATCCCATGGGGAAAAATACAGTCTAAGCATTTAACAGACTTAAGCACAACACTGAGAAACAAATAATCCTATTTGCAAATAATAATGGTAATAGACTCCTCATTTTGTGCCCTATAGAATTCTTTCCCTAATAACTTCTCACAAAAAACATAAAGAGAACCTAAAAGCAAGAGTAAACCTAAACTAGCTCAGTTCCTTGTGTTCAAAATCTTCACTGCCAGTTACTATGGAAAAAGAATAAGCCAAACCTATAAACCAACCCCTAGAAGTTCAGTAAAATTATATTATTGTTGCTTTCTAGTTTGATACTTAAAAATCATTCAGCATAACTAGCACCTCTCCTGGAACACATTTCAGCTCTATCTGAATAGCCTACCAACAGTTTCATAGTAGTTAAAAGCACATAGTGCTATTAAAATTAACTATCTTTACTTTTTAATTTTTTAAAATATATTTTATTGATTTCTTACAGAGAGGAAAAGAGACAGAGTGAGAAACATCAATGAGAGAGAAACATTGACCAGTTGCCTCCTGCACATCCCCTATTGGGGATGTGCCCGCAACCAATGTACGTGCCGTTGACCAGATTTGAACCTGGGACCCTTCAGTCCGCAAGCCTACGCTCTATCCACTGAGCCAAACCAGTTTCGGCTAAAATTTTTATTATTGATTTCAGAGAGGATGGGAGAGGTAGAAAGAGAAGCATCAATGATGAAAGAGAATCATAGATCAGCTGCCTCCTGTACACCTCCTACTGGGGATCAAGCCCACAACCCAGGCATTTGCTTTGAACAGGAATCGAACCATAACCTCCTGGTTCATAAATCAACGCTCAACCACTGAACCACTCAGGCAGCACACTACATAGGAATTTTTAAAAGTTAAAAATTGAAATCTACACAGTAGAAACCATAATATCTCACAATCATCCATATATATCAATATTCCCACTCCCAAAAACTGATACTAGTGAAAACCATGTAAGACAAAAAATCTTGTAGAATAATAATTAAAAGAATATTAATGGAAAAATTTACATTTATCTGCAAAATAAGATTTGCCCTGGCCAGTGTTGTCAAATGGTCAGAACATCAGCCAAGCACCAAAGGGTCTCAGGTTGAATTCCCAGTCGAGGGTATCTGGATTGCAGGTTTAATCCTGGGCCCCAGTTTGGGTGTGCAGGAGGCAACAACTGATGTTTCTCACATCAATGTTTCTCTCTGTATCTCTTTCTTCCCCCCACTCCCTTGCATTCTCACTAAAAAATCAATGGGAAAAATATCTTTTGGGTGAGATTTATAAAAAATAAATAAAAATAAAGATGAAAGCTTTGTCTGTCAAGTACATGGGTAATAACTAGAACAATATACCTGGTTGCCACTTATGATCTTCAACTGGTCACGTGACCCTCCTCAATTCTGGCTCCTCATAGGCAAAATTAGAATAATGCGACAGCATTATGACTGTCTAGCTCAACATAGCATAGAATGATTACTAACAAAAAAAAACACCAAAAAAAAAAAAAAAAGGCATACCATGCAACTCAAGAAGTCTACTTTTATATAATACTAGAGGCCCGATGCATGAAATTTTGTGTGTGTGTGTGTGTGTGTGTGTCCCTCAGCCCAGCCTGCACCCACTCCAATCTGGGATCCCTCTCACAGGCCAGGCTCCCAATCACTGCTGGCTCCCAACCACTCGCCTGCCTGGCTGCCTGATTGCCCTAACCACTTCTACCTGCCAGCCTGATCACCCCCTAACCACTCCCCTGACAGCCTGGTCAACCCTAACTGCCCTCCCCTGCATGCCTGGTCCCCTTCCCAAGTGCCCTCCCCTTTAAGCCCAATTGCCCCTAACTGCCCTCCCTTGACCACCCTGGTCACCCCTAACTGCCCTTCCCTGCTGGCCCCATCACCCTAACTTCCCTCCCTTGCCAGCCTGGTGGCTCCTAACTGCCCTTCTTTGCTGGCCTGATCACCCACAACTGCCCTCCCCTGATGGCCATCTTGTGGCAGCCATCTTGTGTCCGCATGGGGGCATCCATCTTTGACCACATGGGGGCAGTATCTTGGGTATTGGAGTGATGGTCAATTTGCATATTATTCTTTTATTTGATAGGATAAAAGCTATTTCTAACAATAAATGAATTATTTCTGGGGATAGTAACTAGGCGATTGGAGACAGGAACATAAGAAATCTTCATCGCATGCCCTCTTATATATCATTGGAATTTTAGACTATGTGAACTATGTGCTTTAAAAAACGAACACAATTCTAGCCCTACCTGGTTTAGCTCAGTGGATAGAGCATCAGCCTGAGGACTGAAGGGTCCGGAGTTTGATTCCAGTCAAAGGCACATGCCTGGGTTGCAGGCTTTATCCCCAGTAGGGGGTGTGCAAAAAGCAGCCAATCAATGATTCTCTCTCATCATTGATGTTTTGATCTCTCTCTCCCTTTACCTTCCTTTCTGAAATCAATAAAAATTTTTAAAATGAACACATTCTTAAAAATCTTAAAGGCTAAACCAATCAAAACATGTGGAAAGAAGTAAACATCTAAAAGGATGAAAACATCTAAAAGAGTTAAAATCAGACTTTTCATAGAGCACTTACTCATCTATCTGAAGGTTCATAGTAGTGCTAATCCAAGCTTTGGGAATATGGCCTGAGAGGGGAAAATATAAAGTTATGAACATAAGAAGTTATAAAAGCAAACCTTAATCATGTTTTAAAATATGAGGTTGATGAAATAGCCAAGTAGATACCAAGACCTCAGTCAAAATTCTAGTTTGTTTAAGAATGGGCAAGACAAAAGAATAATTTCTAAATATAGGCAGTCTTTGCTTTGCAGTTGATATGTACATATTTCAGTTACCAGGGTTTAGTTACTAACAACAGTCTTCCAACTGAATTCAAATTTCAGTTACCATAGTATATTAACTGTGAGCAACTCAATACAGTATTTCTAACTTTTCAGTACACAAATAATTATGTAGATAACAGATGCATACCAAGATCCATGACCAACCACATTTCTTCTTTCCAAGTCCATTGGTGATTGGTCGTTCACATCAGTTATGCCATTCAGGCACAGACAATGAAGTATGTAGTAGTGTTGCCTCCGTGTCTCCCATGGTAAACCCACATAACACTTTACAAAAATGAATTACTGAAAAGAGGAAACTGACCAAAAAAGACCAAAGTACAACAAAAAATGGAAGTGGTAGCACTAGAAATGTTTAAAAGAAATGATGGGAATGCTGACATGGCTGCTTTGTCAGACCAATGAACAACTACAGCCATACCTCTGAGATACTGTGGTATTTCAGAGTACTGTATTTCAATAAAGCAAGTCATGATTTTATTGCTAGTGAAGGGTTCTTGCCTTTAATTTGTAAAAAAAAAAAAAAAAAAGCAACATCTATGAAGTGCAATAATGTGAAGCACAATAAAGCGAAGTATGCCTATAAGGGCAAACAGGCTGACTGTAGTAGGTTAATACAATGAAGTATCAACATGAGAATGACAATTTTCAAAGCTATGTAGAAAAATGGAGTATGTAAACTATAACTGAAAAAAGTAGACAACAAAATGACCTTTTTCTGATCTTACTTTTTTCTATGGATATAAATGAAATTATATCCATAACATACACAAAAATTAGTCTGAAAATAGTATTTTAGAAGGTTGAATTTTGTTTCTATTATGTGCTGCTATGAGATTAATGTTTTCCTTCTAACTTGTACTGTTCATTATATTGAAGCTGCTGTATTTTAATACAAAAATTCACTTTAATAAATACTATAAGGTTCCCTAAGCAATAGAGTATTTTTATTGTATTAGTATCATTATAAACTTATAAAAAGCAATATATTATATCTAAAGTAAAGACCAAATCAAATATATTTTCCCTTTTGAAAAAAAAAATTTTTTAATTGCGCTAAAAAACACAACATAAAATTTACCATCTTAACCATTTTTAAGTGGGCAATGTGGATATATGTGCCTTGTGCCTTTTCATTCTTCTACAGCATCTACACCCACTGAACATACCAACATCTCCCCTTTTATCTCTCTCTTCAGTCCCTGGCAACCAACATGTTCCACTTTCAGTTTCTAAGAGTCTGGCTACTCTAGATACATCATATAAATGGAATCCTATAATATTTGTCTTTTTGTGACTGGCTTACTTCACACAGTATAATGTCTTCAAGATTCATCTATATTGTAGAATGTGACAGGATTTCCTTCTTTTTAAGATTGAATAACATTCCATTGTATGTATATTCCACATTTTCTTTAACAATATTTTCCCTTAAGTAAATACTTTTGACCATCTAAACAATGATTCAGTTGGGCTAGGCCTGGGCTCTTTGGCCCCTTGAGTGTGGCTCTTCCACAAAATACCACAGCCTACGCCGAGTCTATTTTGAAGAAGTGGCGTTAGAAAAAGTTTAAGTTTAAAAAATTTGGCTTTCAAAAGAAATTTCAATCGTTGTACTGTTGATATTTGGCTCTGTTGAGTTGGTCGACCACTGGGCTAGGCTAATCACACACATACAAATGTAGGAAACATATAAAAACAATCAAGAATGTCACTGACATTTTCTGAGCTATGAGCTAACACATATACTATCAAAAAGCATGAATTCTTACCAAGAAAGTAATATACAATGCAGAAATTTCTAATCAGGAACAGTGATTCCATACAACTGTGTTTAACTAGTAAGGGCAAAGATCTCCTAAAGCGCAAAAACTTGTATTGCTGTGGAAAAAGAAAAACAGAATCAAATAATACACCCAAAGAGAGATGTGGTTCATTCTAAAGCAAGCACATAACTACAACAGTGCACATATAAACAAACTATAATTACTGAATAAAAGACAAAAGTTCATTCTAGAAGCAAAATATCAACTATTCTGATGTTTATCAAGTTTATTGATATAAAAATATCAGAATTGAGAAAATTAACAATATCAAACTATGATTATACTAAGGAATATGGAGACAAAGTAAAAAATCATCATCATTGCCGAAACCGGTTTGGCTCAGTAGATAGAGCGTCAGCCTGCGGTTCCGGTCAAGGACATGTACTTTGGTTGTGGACACATCCCTAGTAGGGGGCGGGCAAGAGGCAGCTGATAGATAACTTTCATCCATGTTTCTGGCTCTCTATCTCTCTCCCTTCCTCTCTGTAAAAAAATCAATAAAATATATATATTTTTTAAATCATCATCATCATCATCATCACAGCAAACATTCTTTGGGTGCTTACAATGTATCAGGAACTATTATAATCATTTTACATGTATTAATTCATTTAAACTTCACAAGAACCCTATGAAGGAGGTTCTGTTATTATCCTCAAATTTCCAGATGAGAAAACCAGGAGGCACAAAGAGGTTAAATAACTTAACAATGTTACCAACTAGCAAAAGGAAAATCAAAAATTTTTAATCCAGGTAGGCTGGCTTCAGACCCTGAAATTTTAAAGATAATGCATAGTCTCTACACTAATTTTTTTAAATGTTATTTTCAGAAAAATAGGAGACAGTGATGACAACACAAGGCTAAGTAAGAATCAGGAAACCTAAGTTCCAGAGCTCTCCTCTTTCGTACGACACTGAGCAAGAAGGCTGAACCAGCTAAATAGTTCCTTAGTCGGTACCTTCCAATTCTATCCATCTAAGAGAAAATAATCAAATTAGAAAAAATATGAACTTTTCCTGGGGGGCGAGGTGGAAACAAAAAAACAAAACAAAACACTTATTTCTTATGAAATGAGTTGACTGACAAGCAACACTCTCTCCAGTTCTGGGCCCTAAAACGCCAATGAAAAAAATATTTTAAAATTATTGGAAAGAATCTAAGGAAATCTAATGAGCAAAAGATGGTCTTCTTTTGAGCTTACTATAACCTTATTCATATAAAGCAATATGTAAATTCTTTTGTGATAATACTAGAAGCTTGGTGTGCATGAAATTCATGAGGTGGGGGAGATCCCTCAACCCAGCCTGCAGCCTCTCGCAATCCGGGACCCCTCAGGGGATGTCCAACTGTTGGTTTAGAGCCAATCCCATAGAGATCCCTGCAAGGTTGGGCCTAAAGCGGCAGTTGGACATCCTCTCACAATCCGAGACCACTGGCTCCTAACCACTCTGCTGGCCTGCCTGATCGCCCCTAACCGCCTCTGCCTCGGGGCCCACCACTGCTTTGGAGCAAACGTATTAGAGCTAGCCTCTTCATCAGGTGAAGACTTTCTAAACAGGACTTTTTCTTCATACACTCACAAACTGCTGGGAGGTAAGAGCCAGATACTTTTCTCTGAGCAATATTTCTTTGATGTATGTGTATTTTCATCAGATTGTTCTCATGGATGCAACAGTCATGTTAAAAGTTTAGTTAAGCCCTAGCTGGTTTGGCTCAGTGGTTGAGCATCGGCCTACGGACTGAAGGGTTCTGGGTTCAATTCCTGGTCAGGGCACATGCCCAGGTTGCAGGCTCCATACCCAGTAGGGGGCATGCAGGAGGCACCGATGAATGATTCCCTCTCATCATTGATGTTTCTATCTTTCCCTCTCCCTTTCTCTCTGAAATCAATAAAAATAAAAAAGTAAAATAAAGTTTTAGTTAAACCAAGAGTACCATAATCCACCACACTCTCCTACTTCATATACTGAAGACATATTATTTGTTTACATATTCCTCCCTCCTCAACTGACTGGGTTCTAGTGGGAAGAGGCTGGTTCTAATAAGTTTGCTCCAAAGCCCAGCCCTCAGCCTGCCAGAGAGTGGGACTGAATCAAATAATAGCACAATCAGGAAATCATAGGAACAGGCTGGGAAGAGCTTTGATGCCACAGTGAGAAATTGCAAGAGGTCGCTCTCTCACCTGCCAGAGGAGGTGGTTCTGAGTTCTAGAAACAGCTCCTACCCAATTATTAAGCTTTTAAAAAACTAGAAAGATAGTTTAAACTGTCCCACTCTAACCAATCAAAACTGTTTTAGTTATACACACCATGCCTTATTGTGAAAAGAATTTGAGACAGTACGTAACTGACATATTCTATACTTACTTGCACATCCTCAAGCTCATGAAGTTCTTAGGTTCAAAAAGAAGCTGGCAGTTGCACAGAGGTACTTTGCATGAATGTCATCCTCATCCTCCCCCAGCCCTACTAGGTCACAGCAACTGCCACTACCTAGCAGGGAGGGAAAGAGTGGAGCAAAGCGGAATTTTGAGAGTGGCAGCAAGAAAAGTGGCTACAGCTCTCAAACATATGCTAAAGTCTCATGAAAACAAATCTCTCCTCTCCAAATGGCATTGTGAAGATCTAAGTCTTAAGGCCTAAGTTTTGTTGATCAAATCTTGAATTAATCAGGTCAAGCCAATTATATACACATACACCAATGCAATTTTAACTCTGCCAAATTCTGTCATAAGATAATGCTCAAATGATACATTACCTGAATGATGGGAAATGGAAGATAGTTCATGTTGTTAATAAAATACAGGAGGCTATAGCAATAGCCCATAAATGCTCCAGCCAGTAGGAAAAAAAGGTGATATTCATTTAAGCAGGATTGTGCAGCAGGGCCATCTAAGCTGAAGGGGAAAAGTTGTGTTATTAATTCAACAGCCAGGGACACATATCACTGTTTTAGGCTCAATATTTATTGAAAGCAAAATTCTGACTTAATCACTGAAGAAATGCCCCAAATTCTTAAAAAATGGTTTGTTTTAGGTAAGAGTGGGCAAAAGATTAACAAAACCCTTTTAGTTAACTGTCTAGATCTACCCCCTAGAAATCTGATAAGGGTAAGAATGTGTCCTGAGATAGTAAGCAATGCTACTTAGAAACTGGAAAACTGGCTGGCACCGGTTTGGCTCAGTAGTAGAGCATTGGTCTGCGGACTGAAGGGTCCCGGGTTCAATTCCGGTCAGGGGCATGTACCTTGGTTGCGGGCACATCCCCAGTGGGGGGGGTGCAAGAGGCAGCTGGTCGATGATTCTCTCTCATCGACGTTTCTAGCTCTCTATCCCTCTCTCTTCCTCTCTGTGAAAAATCAATAAAAATATATTAAAAAAAAAAAAAAAAAAAAAAAGAAACAAACTGGAAAACTGCACCTGGCCTAAGAGAAGCTATAAATAAACTATATACACCCAGATGCCACAACTCTGGCTTTTCTTCGTGTTGTCTTGTTAAACTGGGCAATCCCTCATAGGAACCCTTTCACTAAAGAAAATGTATCACCATTAGAAAAATAACTACCTTATATGATGGTAGCTGGGGCACAAAAGGAAATCAAGTATTCGGCAATACTCATGAACATTGTTTGAAAGTCAGTGAGGAGCCGAGACCGGTTTGGCTCAATGGATAGAGCGTCAGCTTGGGGACTGAAGGGTCCTGGGTTCGATTCCGGTCAAGGGCATGTACCTTGGTTGCGGGCATATCCCCAGTAGGGGGTGTGTAAGAGGCAGCTGATTGATGACTCTCTCTCATCGATGTTTCTAACTCTCTATCTCTGTCCATTCCTCTCTACAAAATCAATAAAATATATTTTAAATAAATAAATAAATAAATAAATAAATAAATAAATAAAGTCAGTGAGGAATAGGAAATTTACTACTAAGATTACTTCAGTTAATCTTTTCTGATTTTTAAAGTCACAATAACAACTTGCAATTTTTATCAATATTCTGTGTTCAAGAACTATAAATTACAGTGAAAGCATTTTATTAGAGGGCATAGTTAAAATTATTTTAAAATTTTTCTTCATTTTTTTCCATACTATCCTTCTTCCAACTCCCATGTCAATGCCACCTCCTTGGCTCTCAGGAGAATGAAATGGATGGTATTATCTCTGCTTTCTCCAAACCCAAGAAAAAAAAATCTTTTTCCAAGGAGGAGCTGGTGAGCAGTGATCCTAAAGAAACAGCTAGCAATGGAAGTCTTCCCAAAGGGAAGCAATCTTTCCCCAGAAAGGAACCAGCCAATGACCCTGAAGAGGCAGGTAACATGGCGAAACCGGTTTGGCTCAGTGGATAGAGCGTCAGGCTGTGGACTGAAAGGACCCAGGTTCGATTCCGGTCAAGGGCATGTACCTTGGTTGTGGGCACATCCCCAGTAGGGAGTGTGCAAGAGGCAGCTAATCGATGATTCTCTCTCATTGATGTTTCTAACTATCCCTCTCTCTTCCTCTCTGTAAAAAAATCAATAAAAAATATATTTTAAAAAAAAAAAAAAAAGAGGCGCCGGGACCGGTTTGGCTCTGTGGATAGAGTGTCGGCCTGCGGACTGAAAGATCCCGGGTTCGATTCTGGTCAAGGGCATGTACCTTGGTTGCGGGCACATCCCCTGTGGGGGGGGTGCAGGAGGCAGCTGGTCGATGTTTCTCTCTCATCGACGTTTCTAACTCTCTTTCCCTCTCAATTTCTCTCTGTGTAAAATCAATAAAATATATTTTAAATAAATAAATAAATAAATAAATAAATAAATAAATAAATAAATAGAGGCGGGTAACAGGAATGTGTCCAAAAAAAAGAGTAAAAGAGTTCGTGCTATCCAAGGACCAGCCAGTCTGCAGTGGAGCTGAAGAAGCTGCTGGCAGGAAGAGCAGCAGTTCCAAAAATAAATTCTAAACACTATACCAGGGAAATTAGAATGGACATTTTCCTAGCGGGGTATTTCCCATCCCAACACACCTCCAATATTTCAATAAAAACAAATTCAAAAGAAAAAAAATGAAGCTATGCATCTCCCTGCTTCCTGAACTCCACTCAAGTTTTATCTGTACATCTATCTCACTTTCTTCCTAGTTCAACCTATTTCTCACACATTCCTATTTCTCTATTACACCCATTTGTGTCCATGGATTAAATCCCCTATTGTCCTCATCTCTCAAAGAGTCCACAGTCCATGTGCAAATCACTCTTACAAATCCAACAGCATCTAATATAGTACCATGCATAGAATAAATCTTTCTAAAAAACTGTTGAATTCAAAACATAAAATATTTGATGTATGTAAAAAAGCACCTTTTAAAGAAATCTAGAAAGCAAACAATATCCATAAACTATTATATTAAACTATATAAGTCATCTTTGGCTTAGTAACTAAGTGAGACTTCGTAGGAAAAAAATATCTAATATTACCTCTCCGTATCAGTGCAGGGAACCACAAGAAAACTATATCGGTCCTTGGTTATCACTGCAGCACACCAAGCCACCATCATTCCCATTGCGGCATGAACAAATGAATGCATGAGCTGCTGAGGATGAATGATTTTCCCTATCAGTTCCAGTCTGGAGCAGGGAATGGAAGGCACAACTGCAAACAGAACACATTAATGTGGCTTTATATTCTGCAGTTTATGAGTACAGAAAGTATATGAGTATATGAGTCCTAGTCAAAAAATCTGCAAGTTAAAATAATTCGTGCAAGAGTAGGCCTTCCTTCCCCTGGTTGCTGGCACTGGCTTCCCTCCGACACCCAGGACCCGGGCTTCCCTCGCAGCCCCAGCTTCATCTAGAAGGACATCTGATCTAATTAGCATATCACACTTTTATTATTGTAGTAGATATGCTAAATCACAACTTGAATATCAGCTCTGAACCATTAAAAGAACTAAATTCTTTATTGTAGTAAAATACACTTAAAACTTAAAAAGTTTATTGTTTTGACCATTTTTAAGTATACAGTTCTGTGGCATAAGTACATTCACGTTGTTGTGCAAACATCACCATCATCTGTCTCCAGACTTTCCCATTTTCCCCAGCTGAACCTCTGTCTCCATTAAACAATTCCCAAAGCCCGGGCAACCACCATTCTACTTTCTGTCTCTAAGTAGTCTCTTAGACTACTTTAGGTATTTCCTAAGTGGGATCATATAATATTTGTCTCTGGAGGTCAAAATACTCCTTTTAGAAGAGAAACTAGCACTCAAATTTTAAGATAAGGTATTCAAAGCATATGATTCTGCACACGTTTGTAAAACTTTAACATAAAACACAGCCCCTATTATACATTCTCATATACAAAATGCATTGAGTGTGCCCTTAATAAAATAAATTCAGACATTTTTAAGATAAAAATTAACTTTCGAAAACTCACCTGAGTAGAACTCCACATTGAAAATACTTATTATTATTATTACCACCGACAGCAGCAGGAAGTAAAAGATTACATAGGAACTATATAGATCATTGAAAGAATCTAAAACACAAGAGAGAGAAATTAGTTAAGATCATTCAGTCATGTAGTTATATTCAGTATACTGCAACAGAAAAAGGACTTGAATCACAACTCTAATTTTAATTTTAAAGTTATCCTTCTTTAAAGAATGTCTTCATACATTGCTGACAAGACTTATAGGATATCCACTCAAGAACTACAATGTGAATTATCGGGACCAAGCTCTGGGTCCTTTAAAATCCTATAAAATAAAAGGATAATATGCAAATAGATCTAACAGTGGAACAACTGAACTGGTTGCTATGACATGCGCTGACTACCAGGGGGCGTGAGTAGAACATGGCAGGCATCAGCAGCAGGTGGCAGAGAGGGGAACATGGTGGGCATTGGCCACGGAGAGATGGTGGAGCAAGTGACAGGGGCACCAGATCAAGATGAGGCGCCAATTGCTGTTATTGGGGTGAGCCTCTGGTGGTTACTGAAAAGTCTTTGCTCCCATGTGTTGCGGTACCACCTGGCACTAACACCCACTGCTGGTGCTGGAGCTGCCACTGACACCCAAGGGTGCTGGCCTCAATAGCTCAGCACCGTCAGTGGATGCAAGTGGCGGCTGCTGCCCTGCTGGCCCTGATCACCCCGATGACTTATCCACTTCCCCCCGCTCCCGAGGGGTGATCGGGGCAGCAGCCGCTGCTAACACATGCTGATGGTGCCGGCCCCACTTGCACCCACTGCTGACACTGGCCCCAAACACTCCGCACCATCAGTGAGTGCAGCGGTGGCGGCAGGAGCAGGACTGCTGGCAGACAGAGGGCCGTGGTGAGAGGGGCCAGGTTGGAGGCACAGAGGATGGGCAAGACCTGCCTCTGTGTCCACTGCAGCCTCACAACCCACAGTTCCTTTCAAGGTGCACGAGTTTGTGCACTGGGCCCCTAGTTATAATTTATTTTAGATGACCCAGATTACTAAATGTGGCACTTCACGTAAAAGTGCCACATTTAGTAATATACCAGCAAAGTGTTTTTTTTTAATGTAAATATTTTTCAGATTTCTTCTTATAAAATGCAATTAGCCCTATAGCTAAAAAAGTAACATTTCTGGAAATAGTATAATCCATAAACCATCTAAATTAACTGGAAACAAAAACAATGAGGCTGTCCCTGTGAAATACTAATACATTCACATTGTAGAGTAGCTCATCAATATTCCATTTTAAAAATATGGCAAACTTTAAAATATGTATGTATTATGCCTAAAAACATGAACAAAAAAAATAAAAACAGCAAGGACATATGTTTGCTGAATAGACTAACACAATTATAAAACCAATTATTTTTAAAAGTATAATTCATTGACTAAAGTTAATAAAAAATATTTATTAAGCATCCACAATTAAACACAAATATTGTACAGCTAAAAGAAAGAATTGATCCATGTTATTGGAAATAAGAAAAGAGTACAACTTAAAAGACTTTGCAAAGCAAAAGTTGAGCAGAACAAGTAACAAATGATGGGGGAAAATGGCATAAATCAAATCCAATTTATGAGATTGGAGAAAGTGCTATTAGGATCAAAGAATACTTGGCCAAGAAATGGAAAAGTTTTTATCCTAAGTTCCAATTTTGAACTGATAATGGCTCTAGATTGCAAGACTGAATATTCTAAGATTGTGACTAAACAGCCAAGATCAAAAGATCAATGAATAATACAGATTCCAGCAAAGTGGAGAGAGAAGTACTTGCCATCCCTGCAATGGTTTATGGTTTAATTTCATGTGACTTATGGGATCCATAAAAGTGATTGATATGTTCCGAAGCCAGTTTGGCTCAGTGGTAGAGCGTCGGTTTACAGACTGAAAGGTCCCGGGTTCGATTCCAGTCAAGGGCATGTACATTGGTTGTGGGCACATCCCCGGTGGGGGGTGTGCAAGAGGCAGCTGGTTGATGTTTCTCTCTCATCGACATTTCTAGCTCTCTATCTCTCTCCATTCCTCTCTGTAAAAAAATCAATTATATATATATATATATATATATATATATATATATATATATATATTTTTTTTTTTTTTTTTTTTTAAGAGAGAGTTACAAACATCAATGAGAGAGAATAATCAATCAGCTGCCTCTTGCACACACCCCACTGGGGATGTGCCTGCAACCAAGGTATATATGCCCTTGACCAGAATTGAACCTGGGACCCTTCAGTCCTCAGGTTAACGCTCTATCCACTAAGCCAAACAAGTTTCAGCTTAAAAAAAATTTGAAACGTAATGCAATCATGTTGAAAAGTTGGTCCTGTACATTTGTTTTGGCCAAATTGAGTATCACTTACCAGACAGCCACTGTATAGGATGCAATAAATCAATGCTGTTGAAGATTATAAATACTGTGGTACAGATGGGTAGAAGCAGCACTGACCACACAATACTTGTAACTATCCTCCATCCCAAAACCTGTAACAAAATCACTCAATCATCAAGTCAGTTAAACTATTTGTTATGCAAATCCTATCTTTTCATACAGGATGCTAATCACTAATGTTTATACCCAGATCATAGTCCATTAAGGTATATATAAACCTCAATGGTTATGACTATTAATAACTTTAATTTACATACCACTATAGAATTTTGTATTATCAGTGAACTGTGGTTATGTGAGTCCAGAATCAGGTGCAGGGGAAGGGGCAGATTTAAAACTGTATTTTACAGCAATTAATACTTGTCTCTCTCGGTTTAATTGGTAGATATTTCAACATATAAAAGCTATATATAATATTTTATGGGAACCATCATGTATACTGTAATGGTGTTTTATTAGATATGCACTCCAACTGACAAATGATATTCAGCCTGAATCACCAGTGCCTACCATGTAAGAGGCACAAGATTTACTATTGATAGAAAAGCAAAGTGAATACTGAAGGGTTTTAAGTAGAGAGCCGCCAGCGAAGGCAGAAGGACATTCTTTTAATTCTTATCCGCTGAGCCCGAGGGCACTGGCAGAGTCCGGTTATCAGTACCAATTTCTTATCTTTATCCATGAGCTTGGAATGAGGAACAAATAGGGCCTTGACTTACCCAGGGCTGGATACGATAAATCTCATCCTTGTACCAAAAAAATGAGGAACTTACCCAGGTCTTGATGAATAGGACCTGGGCACACCCAAAACTCCTTTTGACCTTAAACTTCCCCTTTGGAAATCAATAAATGTGCAGTGTTGTCTGTGACTGCATCTCCATCAGAGAGGTGGTGCCCACCTAGCGCCCAGCTTGATGAATCTATTTCTGCCTCTTGTCTCTCTCTAATTTCTTAATCCCCAGCTCCTCCACTCAGGAACCTGTCGTTTTCCGTCCAGGACACAGAAAACGGAGAAAATGCCCACCGCAATTTTAAGCATGACAATTGGACTTATATTTTGGGCGATAAAACACCCTGGGTTTGTAACCTGGCTGTGATGATGGGACAAAGCCAAAACAGGAAGCAGTCCAGCAACTGCCCAAACCAAGGGTTATAGTCAGTGTCTGAAGGAAGGGCAGCAGCAGTGGGAAAGGAGGCATAAAGGGGGAAAATGTATCCACATTTGTGAAACACACTATACAGGACATCGTGATTGATACCAGGGGTGGTAAAGAACAGGTAAGACTTCAAAACCCAAAAGTTTTTAGCTTGGAGTGATCAACCAAAGGACTTGTATGCATGCATATAAGCAAAACCAATGGACGAAAAACTCTGGGGAGGGAGGGCATGTATGGGAATGGGGGGGGGGGGCAATGGTAAGATAAGTACACATATAATACCTTAATAAAAAAAAAATTTAAAAAAGGAAAAAAAAGTTTTTAGCTTGGGATACAGGGTAGATGGCTGGTATGTTGGGGTGGCCTAAAAGAGATATTATTCCTGTATCGCTTTGTCCTGCACAGAATGGATGTAGAATTGTTGATTCAACTTCAGCTAGAAGTATCAGCTCATCTCAGTCCCACAGCGCACACATTCCTCTCACAAGGAACACCTGGGACACCTAGCCTGTTTCCAGTGGTCGGCAAACTGCGGCTCTGTTGACTGAGTTTGCCGGCCAGGAACAACAGCAGTCTGTAATTATTGGAATCGAGTGTCTAGGTCAGTGATCGGCAAACTCCTTAGTCACCGCCGACACTGACCTAGTCCCACCCCAGCCTCTGCCAAGTGCACGCATTCGCATTCACATTCTTTCCAACTCTTCGCACTTCCAATCCCAAGTGACCAACAAGTTATTTATGTTGCACCTACCAGGCACACCACCCCTGCATACACTCTTCCCCCGTTCCCTGCCCCCCTCCCCACGCAGGTCGGCCCTCCCACTCTGACCAGCTCCCACTCTGGACTCCCCTTTCACCCCCTAACAAGTTGGCACTCAGGCCATCCCGCGCGCACATCCCGCACCCAGCTTTCCCTAGCTCACTCCTCCCGGTCACCAGCTTCCACTCAGGACGCCCCGACAGCCCTGTAAGAAGCTCCCCTGGAGGGGGTCCTTTCCCCACGCGCTCCCCACGCTGCCCCCGGGCCGGTCCCTCCCCCGCCCAACTCGCGCGCGGCCGCGCCGATGCCCCGCAGCCCCCGCAGCCCCGCAGCGGCCCGGCGCACACCACCGCGAACGCAGCACTCACGCGCCACAAGATGTCCCGCGACCCGCCGGCGCAGGGCCAACTCGCAACCGTGGCCATGGTGGCCCCCGGTCTGAGGGGAGCGGGATACGGCCAGCCCGCCCGCCTCACTGGTTCAAAGGGAGGAAGGCCCCAGGAGGACCCCCCCGGGGCTGCCCCAAACGGTGCCTGAGCGAAGCGCGGCCCAGGACCCAACCCGTTTCTCCGAGATTTCGTCTGGACACGCCTAGAAGGCCAGAGTTCCCCCGCATATAAGCGTCCCAAGGGGGCTCGGGACACCAAAAGTCGCCCTTGGGAATCAAAAAGGTCTCTCCGAAGCAAGGTCCGGCGAGGCACCAAAAATTGGGGGCGGTGCTGCTGCATGCTGGGAACTGTAGGCTCCACCGCCTCTGGAAGCAAGGCGAGCGTTGCATTCTGGGACTCGGAGTTCCAAAGTACAGCATGCTGGGAGACGAAGTCTTCCTGAAGGTATCTCGTGGCATGCTGGGAATCAGTCTGTTATAAGACATACTAAAGGCCGGTTGCAGACATTTGTGCCTCAGTTTTGTAATAGTTAAGTCAGTAGAATAATACATCTTGCCATAAAATATTACTAGGAGATCAAATGATCAGGTAACATTTATTGTTATTTTCTATAAATAAACACAATCTCTGGTATGCTAAAGTGAAAGGTATTATAGAAATACTCAGATAGGGTTTGATTACAAGTGAAGTTTACTATCACAATCCAAATTTATTACTTAAAAAAAAAAAAAAAAAAAAGCAGGGCTGAAACAGGTTTGGCTCAGTGGATAGAGCATTGGCCTGTGGACAGAAGGGTCCCAGGTTCGATTCCAGTGGGGGGCATGTGCCTTGGTTACTGGCATATTTCTGGCTCTCTATCCCTCTCCCTTCCTCTCTGTAGAAAATCAATAAAATATATATTTTTTTAATTATTGGAAAAAAAAAAAAAAAAGCAGGGAGCCAACTAGAAACTGAATCAAATATAAGCCCTTGAAGGGCAAATGTAATTTAGATAAGCTACATGCCCTTGACTGGAATCGAACCTGGGCCCTTCAGTCCGCAGGCTGAAGCGCTATCCACTGAGCCAAACCCGTTAGGGCCAATCTGACATTCTTTCCTTTATAAGTGAATTTGTCTTTTAGTCTGGTTGCCCCCAATATGTTTCTTTAAAATCCATTTCATAATTTTATTATATTACGAGAGGCCTGGTACACAAAATCCATTCACTCTGGGGGTGACTCAGCCTGGCCTGTGCCCTCTTGCAGTCGGGGAGCCCTGGGGAGGGGGGCGGGGAAGAGGATGTCTGACTGCCACAGAGGCAGGAGAGGCTCCTGACACCACTGCTAGCCAGGCTGAGCAGCACTCCCACTATGGGAGTGCACTGACCACCTGGGCAGCTCCTAGATTGAGCATCTGCCCCCTGGTGGTCAGTGCGTATCATAGCAACCACTTGGTCAATTTACAATATTAGCCTTTTATTATATAGGATGTCACAATGTTGATCTTCTGGATTGAGTTCCCAGGTATGGGGTATGTTCTTGCTATAAGAAGTTACGAATCTTATTAATTTTTTTCAATAAATATTTATTATTATAGTATTTTTTAATTTATTCTTTTTTATCTTGAAGGACATGTACAATATACCTTTAGAACTTTTTGGCCTATCATCTATATTTGTCATTTTCTCTCTGATTTCTCTTTATTTATTCTGGAATTAAATTTTTTCCTTCTTTTCATTTTTTATTCCCTTAAGGTATTATGTTGTGAAAAACATTATTACTATGATATTCCTTCTAGTTCAGTCTTCATTTGTGAAATAAGTTTTCTTTTCTTTATAAATCTTTCTTGAGTTTTACTACCTAATTTCTGTTAATTCTGATTTGTGCTTTTCTTCCATATCTTATAATTATATTTCCTTAATTTATTTTAGCTCATTTTGATATATTGTTATTGTTTTTATCTGGTTTTGTGTACATGTCTATCTGGAATGCTTTCATTAATTAGGAATGTTAATCTGCTCCTTATTCTATTTTGTTTTAAAATGTCTTTATTGGTTTTTAGAGAGGAGGGGAGAGGGATATAAATAGAAACATCATGGCTCAGCTGCCTCTTGCACACCTCCTACTGGGGATTGAGTCTGAAACCCGGGCATGTGCCCTGACCAGGAATTGAACCATGATGTTTTGATTCATAGGTTGATGCTCAATCACTGAGCCACCAGCTGGGCTCTCAGTTTTTTATAACTTCATTATGAGGTTTGGCTTCAATCCTTTCGGTTGCTCATTTTTACATGAAATTAATTTTCCTGCACATTTGGGGGGGGCGGAATGTGAGTCAGGATAGCTATGCTAAATTCAAAGCTCTTCCTGTTGTTTTATGAAATGTTCAAAAATATGGCTTCAGATATTCTGAAATATCCTGGCTCTGTTCCCCATCCCCACTCATCTGGACTTCCCTTTTCTTTGCACAGATATCCATGGCCTACACTACTTGTATTCTATTCCCTGCATTTTTTACTCTGGTGTCCTGGAAAGATATTTTGTCTGGTTTTGAGAGGTCACAGGACCTGGGCTGCTCCAGCTTCTTCAGACCTTACTTTGGACCCCTTGCACTCATCAGCTGCCAACTGGATTGTTTAAAACTTCTCCCACCCCACCCCAGTAACCAGCTGCTGTTCTATTGGTCCTCTGTACTTTTCAGGGAGTACTTTCTGGCTATTTTGAGATTCTCTTATTTTTAAATTTCTCAGACACTCTGTTGCTTCCCTCTGCTTCTTTGCACAGAAACGTTGACTCCACATAAGTCTTCAGACTGACAGTGGTCTCCACCTACTTGAGTTCTGGGGCTTGTGGTAATACCGTATTATCGGTTCGATTGTAGATGTTGTCCGTAGGTTTGCCAAGGTGATCTTAAACTCTCTATTGCCTCAATTTGTGTACATCTTCTTTTATCTGCTGGTCAGACTTTAAGTCCAATGTGTCTTTGTACCCTACTCACCAAAATGTAGGGAACTCCTGTCCTGAAGAGAACAACAAAAGCAGGAGGGAGCCGGGACCGGTTTGGCTCAGTGGATAGAGCATCAGCTTGGGGACTGAAGGGTCCCAGGTTCGATTCCGGTCAAGGGCATGTACCTTGGTTGCGGGCATATCCCCAGTAGGGGGTGTGCAAGAGGCAGCTGATCAGTGACTCTCTCTCATCGATGTTTCTGGCTATCTATCTCTCTCCTTTCCTCTCTGTACAAAATCAATAAAATATATTTAAAAAAAAAAAAAAAAAAAGGCAGGAGGGAATTGGCAATCCTGACCGGGCAGAAGCTCAGCCTCCTGGATGGTGGGCCTTGGAACATAAAGTATTAAAAAATATCTCTGAAGTGTCACTGGTGTTGCCCTTGCCACCTTGAAGGGACACTCAAAGTGCCCTTAAAGAAATGTCTAAAATATGCTGAAGTGATCAAGTGCCTTAAGCCCACTATTCCATACTGACAGGAGGAAAATTCAGATGTTCAACTTAACCGCCATACTTCAGCAGCTAGCACATTACCGGTAAGTCAAATTCTCGGCAGCCTCCAACATGCTAAAGACAAAACATCAAGGAAGAACTTGAGATCAAAGTCATCAAGTGAAGACACAGACGTCACGTGAGGTATTTATTTTGCAACCATTAGGTTCAGTTGCCCAGGATCAGGTCACCAAAGACAAATTTCCAGGCGCCCAATGAATCCCAACCAAAGTTCACACTGTTTGGCCACTCTAGGATGGCAAGCATTTGGAGAGAAGAGGATCACCGAGGAAATCTGTACACAATTCAGGGAAAAGACCTCAGAAGTTAGGATGGATCCGTGCCAGGAATTAAGGGCATAGCTCCTGGGAGGCACATCACTTGACCGTGAGAAGCAAAAGGCAGGCACCTGAGCATGCCTAACCCATCCCTTGTGCTTCATTCCAAACCAGCGCATAGTCACAATGATCACAGGCAAGGGAAAAGAAGAGCTGAAAGACACATGTGCTGAACAACATTTAATTTTGTTTGTTAAATAGGTAATGAGGCTTCGGATATTAGGGGTTGGTGCCATTCCGTCAGTTTTCCTGCTGGCTTTTGTGTCCAGGAGACCACATTCCAAAAAAAGTTAAAAGAGAACTGAAAAACAAACAAACAACAAAACAAACACGTAACTTTCAAGATAAAGACTCCCTCATACAAAAAGGAGCTAAACTGTAGAAAAGCATCTACTTATGTTTAAAGATATAATTTCAACACCAAAGACATCTGCCACCACCAGGCTGCTTTTCTTATACAAACTATATCACTGGAAAACCAAATGGTAGATAAAGGGAAGTGTTATAAATGAAGTATTCCAGTTAATAAACAAGGAAGGAAAGATAGAACTGAAATATCACCATTTTGAAGCCCCTAATAAATTAATGGATCTGGGCATTGCTTAATAATGGCCACTCATACAAAAAAGAAAAAGATAGTTAGGCATTTTGAGTTTATGGATAGAAGAATTTAACTTCACTTGTCAAGTAGTCTTGCCTTCCTCCTTCTCCCCCCTCCCCCAAAAAATAAAAAAATTTAAAAAAACCCCTGAATCTGATCAAATCTTTAGATACAACCACCAATTTGCAGAAAAAAAGATAGGGCAGCCGAGACTGGTTTGACTCAGTGGATAGAGCGTCGGCCTGCGGACTGAAAGGTCCCAGGTTTGACTCCAGTCAAGGGCATATATCTTGGTTGCGGGTACATCCCCAGTGGGGGTGTGCAGGAGGCAGCTGATCAATGTCTCTCTCTCTCTCATCGATGTTTCTAACTCTCTATCCCTCTACCTTCCTCTCTGTAAAAAAAAAAAAATCAATTAAATAAATAAATAAATAAAAAACAGATTATGATACTTAAAAAAAAAAAAAAAGGATAGAGCAACACGATAGATAAAACTAAATAGTATAATCAGCAAAATCCAGATAGTGAGAAACTATCGAATAAACAATTCTTCAACAAATAAATGGCAAAGTGAAAAAGGAAGATGGAGTAGGATTCTATAATTTAAAGACATTTAAGAAATACATCAAACAACTTCATGAAATTCAAACACTGTATATTTGATATTAAGGCGTTATAATTTTAAAAAATGTGACCATACTATTATGATAATGTTTTAAAGAGGATCTTTTATAGACACAGAATTTAAATATTATGGATAAACTAATAGGATGTCTTACGTTTGTTTCAAAATAATATGGGCAGAAAGAGGTGGGTGTATGGATTTTAAGAGATTGGCCAAGAGTTGACAACCATTGAAAGTGGGTGATGAGTATATGGAAAGTCAATATACTACCATGTTTCCCCGAAAATAAGACATCCTCCGAAAATAAGACATCCTAGGGCATGGAAAAATAAGACATCCCCTGAAAATAGGACCTAGCGCATTTTTGGGAGCAAAAATTAATATAAGACACTGTCTTATTTTCGGAGAAACAGGGTATTCAACCTATTTCTATGTTTAAAATTTTCCACTAAATTAAATTTTTTAAAAAGAATAAGAAGTTATGTTGACCCAGGTTCTCCCAATTTACCTCAAAGAAAGGGAACAGAGAAGAACATTGAGAAAGAAATAGCCGAGGAACAGAAAGGGGATTCTCTGGGCAGGGACATTCAGACACGGCGGGGGAAGAATAAGAGAGGGAAGAAAACATGTTAGCCATGGTGTGAAGTCGTGCAGTTTAGAGCCTGTGTTGTAGGAGATTAGAGCACTGAGTGAAAGCTGATTTAAGAATAAAAGAATTGATGTGTATAAACCTAGTAAAAAAAAAAAAAAAAAAAGGTGTGCAGCTTTGGCTTATGAAATAAGCAGTCCTGACGTGAGTGAAAGGATAATGGCATATAAACCTGTGTATAGATCAGGAGGTTTTAATGAAGTCCTTTGTTCTTCTCTTAGTAGAGCCCTGCTCACACTGCAGTGTAAGTATCTGCTGGCCGCTCTCCTCTGGACAGACCCACTTGTCACCGCCCTGGGAAGGCAGCTCCGATCTGGATGAGGCCCTTCCAGTATTCCATCCCTCAAGCCAAAGTAAGGCTTCCTAGGTGCAGCCTCCAGGCTTTTCCAGGGTTTGGGCTCAGAGGAGAAATGGCACTAGCCCTCTGGTGATAAGTTGATTTTTTAAAAGGAAGGAAGGAAAGAAGGAAGCAAATATTCAATGACTTATGTAGGGGCAGCCTCCCTAATTATAAGAAATGGGAGGTCCCCTGTGATCTGAGGTTTCAGGGAGAAAAAGGGGGTAATGCTCTCCCAGTGATCCATTCCAGGCCACGTCCTCTAATGCACAGATTTACCTGAGAAAGGTTATCTGAGAGATTAGAAGCCATACTTTTTCAGTGAAAGCGAGGAGTCCAGAGATTACGGTGAAGGGCACAGCCGGCTCATAAATCTGCAGTGCCTGGAGCTCCGGACAGCCCCTCTCACTGGCAAAGCGATCGATGCTTCTGCCAGGGAGGCTCCAAAGACACTGTTCATCACTATCTCTTTTGGAGACTTGACACCCATTTGGAGGCACTGACACCCACGTTTATAGATCTGAGCAAAGTCCAGAGGTATCAAATCAGGGCCCTGAGGGCCAGTCTCTTCTCAGATGGCAGCTTCTGACTCAAGGTTCACAGCAGCTGGGACACTCGGTCTGGAGCCTTCAAAACCAAAATATGAGAAAGGAAGTGAAATCTCAGCTCTGGAGCAGGCCGAGAGAGCCCCACCAGGGCCTCACCAGCGTGATGTCTGGTATTCTGACAAGGGGGAGACCGAAGCACCTGTTACCACTGTGCTGTCCACCTCTGTCCTCGCCAGCTGGGCTCAGATTTTCTTGTTTCCGTGATATGGTATCACTGTGCCTCAATGAACAACCTATGTCTTCACTTTCAAAAAAGCCATGGGAAGCCGATTACTCTTTTCAGAACAATGGGTAGCTGATTACTTCTGCTCGTTCAGGACTCAGTTTAAACAAGTCCCCTTCTCTGATGTACAAAACACAGGTGTAATGGGATGGCAAGATGGGTTGGAAGGAAAGGAACGTTTCAAACATCTGTGCAAAGGCGTGATGTGTCTGGCAATGGCAAGAAGTTCGGCATGGCTCAGGCCAGAACAGCCATGGAGGAATTGACATTTTTCCTACACTCTACCCATTAAGCTAACCACTGACAGTGGAATCATCAGAGGTCCAGAGAACAGACCATGCATGAGAATTTGTAAGCTCTGGAGAACCCTATATAGAAAAGGCTAATATGGAAAGTGTCCCCTTCAGAGTTCAACCAGGGACCAGGAGTCCGATCACTCGCTATGGCATGCACTGACCATCAGGGGTGACGCAGAACAAAGGAAGGCCCCAGCTGGTAGCTAGCAAAGGAAGGCCTTCACTGGTGGCCGGTGGCTGGCAGCTGGGGAAGAAAGAGCCCAACTGGCCCTGATTATTAGCCAGGCCTAGGGACCCTACCAGTGCACAGATTTTGTGCACCGGGCCTCTAGAGAGTAATTTAAAAATGTCACACTCAGAGTCTGAGCCCATGTTGAGAAATCACAGGGAAACTAGGAAAAAGCCATCCAGGACTGTAACCAAATGGAACAAACCTTTATTGTGCTGCTGGGAAGGCAGGAGAGAATAGAGGGGATGCTGGGACCAAAAGGCAGGAGCTCTTCTAGAAAAATCTAAGATTTTGTGTTTCCCAAATCACATGGATTTCACAAATGGAGACTTCAGCAAGAGAGACATACACATACACACACGCCACATTAAACTGTGCCAGAAGAGGAACAGGCCTGACCCTCTCTGTTTTATGCTAACAGAACTGATGCACCTGCCCAGTATCACACAGCAAGAAGACAAAAAATATAACCTCTTACTTCCTCTTCAGCTGGACTTGGCTGCTATAACGGTTTGGTTTGGAACAACTGCAGTTGTTGGAAGATGGTCCACCTCTGGTGCATCAAAAAAGTATGCCTGCAGAAAAAGAAGACCCACAGGGGAGTTACAGAACAGAGCAGTAAAGACTCCAGGCGAATAGTCCTGCTGGGTTCTCACGGCCCGTTTCCCTGTAACATATTGGTCATCACACTGAACTACAACATCTCTGCTTCTTTCTTCTCACTTATTTGACCATGAGTGCCTTTTTAAAATTCTGTTACCATTTGCAGAGACCGGTTTGGCTCAATGAATAGAGCGTCGGCTTGGGGACTGAAGGGTCCCGGGTTCGATTCCGGTCAAAGGCATGTACCTCGGTTGCAGTCATATCCCCAGTAGGGGGTGTGCAAGAGGCAGCTGATCGATGACTCTCTCTCATCGATGTTTCTAACTCTCTATCTCTCTCCCTTCCTCTCTGTACAAAATCAATAAAAATATATATATTTTAAAAAGTTTAAAATTCTGTTACCATTTATTGAGCATTTACTACCTAAAACTTAATCTTCATAACAGCCCTGTGAGGTTATTATCCTCATTTAACGGATGAAGAAGCTGAGGTTCCGAGGGGTGCATATGGGGAAGCCAGGACTCAAAGGAGGCTCTTTTGAACTCCAAAGCTCCAGTCTCTCCTCCAAAGACTGCATCCTTCTTGTCTCTGTGTCATCAGCCCCTCACACAGGGCTGGCGCATCATGTCAACAACTACTACTCAGCAGACTGCTGCTAAACCAGGGGGCTCCCTGTAAAGACCTTCAAAAGAAAACGCTAGGCAGGCCGCACCCCATCATTCTTCAGCTAGGACTGAAAGGTTTGGTGAGTGCGTCCACTCACCATCTATGATTTATCTGTCAAAGATCAGAAGGAAGTGGAAGAGGGAAAACTTTAAGGAAGATCATCTCACCTGTGTCAAGGTCTCGGAATCCTAACTTTAGCCCAGGAAAATACCAGTCTCACTAGCCTTGAACACTGGATATTCAAAAGAAAGGTCAATCGGTAATAAACCAAGGAGTTAGGGCATTAGGAAGGTAAAAAGATAAAAAGGCACCAAGAACCGTTTCCCCTGCTCTGCCCTCTTGGCCAGAAGGGGGCACCAATATGACACGCTGGGGCTTTCCCAAACAGATTCCCAGTTAACTCGACAATAGTCCATTTCAAAAAGTTTCTAGCTGCAGACTCCCTCTAGTTTACCACATTCCCAGGGTAATTCTATTAGCTTTAAAGTCTTCCTCCCAGGACCCCTTCCAGCAACTGTTTTCTGAGGCAGAGAAAACAGTTCCTAACTTAAGGGGGAGCCAGGGGCCACGCGGCTAGAGTTGGGCCCTCCACGTCCCTGGCAGGAGCGCTGGGCCAGCAGCACCCAAGATGCAGGAGCAATGCTTTTCCTCCAACTCCTGGAGGAGCCTCTCAGATGGAATGAGACAGGGCATCCAGGTGCTAAATGGGACTCTGCTAGTAACTTGCACTGTGACTTGGACAAGTCACTCCATCCCCCTGACCTCAGTTTTGTTTTGTTTTAAAAGCTGGAGATAGCCCAAGCTGGTTTGGCTCTGTGGGTAGAGCATCAGCCTGCGGCCTGAAGGGTCCTGGGTTTGATTCTGGTCCAGGGCACGTGAGGGAGGCAAGCAATCGATGTGTTTCCCTCTTTGTCTCTCCCCTCCCTTCCACACTCTCTAAAAATCAATGGAAAAATATCCTCGGGTAAGAATTACAAAAACAAAACAAAACAAAAAAACTGGAGATATTTATCTTGGGTACTTTTAAATTTAATAATTTGATTTAACTTTACAGGCTAAGCTGAGAAATTCTCTCTTAAAAGAAAAAAAAGGATTATATTTTCCCCTCTCATTTTAAAAGTAATACATATTATAACAAATTCAAATAATACTGAAGTATGAAAGTACTCGGTTATAAAAACACCTTCTTAGCCCTTGGTCTTTTTTATTTTTTTGGCTAAAAATATATGTGGCATATAGGCCTCAATTTCCTATCTGTAAAACAAAAGGATTGGAAAAATGATCTCTAAGGGCAAGTTATAATTCTATGATTCATTAGTTCCACAAACACTGGGGCGCAGGGCCCGCTGCTATTGGCAGTAACCACCTCAAACACAGGCTCGTACGTCTACAGTCATTCCAGCCACGGACTCACCCTCTGCTGCTTCCTTAGGTGTCCCTGCCGGGTGTGTGCCAGCACCAACTTAGACGTCGTGAACAGGTGCAGCACCGAGGGGGCCTCGGCAGGTATGGGGCTGTCACATGCTTCACTGCACTAAGGCAACAGCGCCCCTGTGCTCCCCAGGGGAGTGAGAAGGCCAAGCTGCCTGACTCAGCCAGTGCCCCTTGGCTCAACTAGCTCCTCTGACAATTCCTCTCCCTGCCTTTCCCATAATGTCTTTGTTTGTACAGCTTGTCCTGTTTTTCCTGTTGCACATATCATTCAATCCTTACTACAGCTCCTTTTCCTAAGTGAGGAGGAAGAGGTACAGAGGGGGGAGATAACCAGAGCAGGGAGTGATGGACAGGATGAGAACCCATCTCCTCACTTCTGCTTCAGCCCTCTTGCACTGCACATGTCCTCCAGGAGAGAAAGGAGGCAGCAAGCTCCAGTGTGGAGACCCAAACCCGGGCGCCCTGGCTACACACCTGATCATGGATGGCTCCCTTCCCTAAGGAGAAGACTGGGCTCCCCTCCAGCAAGGGATCCTTCGCCCGCAATCACTTCCCTGCTCTTCCACGTCCCTTAGGACTGGGCAGAGCATCGCCTTTTCTCCTGCCTCTTCCCTCCAACTTCTCAACCAGGACTATAATGGTAAGAGGTTCAGGAGAGAAACAGGAAGTCAGTGAGAGGCATTGGTGAAAGGCAGTCTTTAGAGCTGTGTGACCTTGGACGGCTCTTACTGGGGCACTCAGGATAAGCAGCAGAGTGGGACCTGGCGGTTTCTGATGACATGGGGCTTTTTTAATAGCTGCTTTACATCTGAAGAAACTCACAGTGTCTGAGCCGATCACATCCACTGCTCTGAGTCTCACAAAAGCCGATGGAACTACGAACCTCCCTAACCAATGAGGAAACAAGGTTTTAAGAGTTAAGTCACTTGCCGGGATTCAGCGTGCTAAGCAACTCCCAGTGCAGTGCTCTCTCCACCTCATTTTAGCGCTCTCATTTAAAAATTCCTAACTTCAGTGTTATTCACCCCAAAGGGGAGTAATAGGCACAGGAGGTAAAAGATTCTGGCCACAGGTACCAAATGAAATGGGTTAACGGTAATAGTAATAATAACAACCACAACCACACCTCCCTGCTCTATTATCCAGTTTGTCTTGCTCCTCTCTATTTTTTTTTTTTTTAAATATACACTTTACTGATTTTTTACAGAGAGGAAGGGAGAGGGATAGTTAGAAACATCAATGAGAGAGAAACATCAATCAGCTGTCCCCTGCACACCCCCCACTGGGAATGTGCCCGCAACCAACGTACATGCCCTTGATGGGAATCGAACCTGGAACCCTTGAGTCCTCAGGCCGACGTTCTATCCACTGAGCCAAACTGGTTAGGGCAACTCCTCTCTGTTCTTTACAGAACCAAACAAGGCAATAATGCCTTTTCTCTTCAACAAGTTCTCCGCTGGGGAAAAGATTCAGGAGACAGAAGATGCCAGGGAAAGGCGTTACAGGGAGAGGCCGTCACATGCAAAGAGCATCTTCCTCAGCAGACAGAGGGTCACGGCAGCATTTCAGGGGGTCAGCAGAGTCCAACCCACAGCCTCTGCCCCAGGGCTTAAAGCTTAGGCACATGGAGAGTACGTGTAAACCAAGTCTGTGTTTCAGAACTTGACACTTTTTATGAGACTTGTTCAATGACGGAGTTTTGGGATCTTATTAAACACTTAATGAGGCCATGGTTGTCTACACAAAAATATTAAAGATCAAACGGCACCAAAGAAATATTTCCTCCCACAACAGCAAAACCTGACCAAGGGTCTGGAGGTGGGCTCTGTGGACGACTCCCTGTGGGCATGTGCTTTCCTTCATCAGTGACCTTGTTAACATTCTTGGACTTGGACGTTTTTCAAACCCTGCGCCAGGCCTCGTTAAGGCCACGGACAGCAATTTTTGAGCACCATGTCTACAAAAGATGCAAAGCCACGTCTACTTAGGATCAAAGGAAAGGGATCTAACTTATGGGCATTTATGGGTAAGTTCTATGTCCTGTGCTTTGTATATATTATTTTATTTTGTGCTCAGAACATCCCTCCGAGGCAGGACCTATTACACCCACATTACGATTCAAAGTTCACAGAGCCAGTGAGTGACAGAGCTGGCCTTCAATCCGGGCCTGTCTGATTCAAAAAGCACACACTCTCCCTAAGAAGACACCTAAACATGTGAACTCAAAAAACGGTTTTAAGTGTTTTTTCTTTAAAATAATTTTCTCCTTTCCTGTACTGGACTTCATTCTTAAGCTTCCACCTATGAAGCTTTAAATTTCAAAACTCTTTCTAGTTATGTGCAGACACTAGCAAAGGCATCCAGAGCAGAACTCCCAGTCTTATTTATTGACACTCACCCACCTCTATGTCCTCAGGTCAGACACCAAGTCTTGACTAAACCTTAGAAATCAGGTAAAGCTGGAGGTTACAATCAAATCCTCATAACTTTTCCCTGGCCAGGTGGCTCAATTGATTGGACCATCGTCCCATGCACCAAAAGGTTGTGGGTTTGATTCCCAGTCAGGGCACATACCTAGGTTGTGTGTTGATCACCATGTAAGTGAGGCAACTGTTGATGTTTCTCTCATATTGCTGTCGTGTCTCTATCTCCCCCCATTCCTCTCTCTCTCAAATCAATGAGACATATTCTTGGGTGAAGATAAAAAAATCCTCATGACTTTACTCTTCTCATCCAGGAGAGTCTATCTAACACAATGTTTATTTCATGTTCTAAAGAACCACCATGTCAAACAATTTGAGGCCTTTTTTTAAAAAATTTTTTTTAAAAATATATTTTATTGGTTTTTCACAGAGAGGAGGGGAGAGAGATAGAGAGTTAGAAACATCGATGAGAGAGGAACATCGATCAGCTGCCTCTTACACACCCCCTACTGGGGATGTGCCCGCAACCAAGGTACATGCCCTTGACCAGAATCGAACCTGGGATCTTTCAATCCGCAGGCCAATGCTCTATCCACTGAGCCAAACTGGTTTTGGCAGTTTGAGGCCTTTTATTTATTTATTTTTTTATTGATTGATTTTTAGGTTGTTGTTTTTTTTTAATTTAATTTTTTTATTAAATTATTATCTGTGTACATATTTGAGGCCTTTTAAGTATTTGCATTTAAAGCACTCCATAGCCCTAGCTGGTTGGCTCAGTGGATAGAGCATCGGCCTGTGGACCAAAGGGTTCTGGGTTCGATTTGGATCAGGGGCACATACCTTGGTTGCAGGCTTCTCCCCAGCCTAGACCCTGGTCAGGGCTTGTGCAAGAGGCAACCAATCAATGTGTTTCTCTCACATCAATGTTTCTTTCTGTTTTTCCCTCTCTCTTCCACTCTCCCTAAAAATCAATGGAAAAATATCCTCGGATTAACAAAAATATAAAAGTAAATATATGTAATACTAAGAATCTCTATTAAATAAATAAATAAATAAATAAATAAATAAATAAATAAATAAAACACTATAAAAACACAGGAATGAGACCATACCAAGCAGCCCACAGAAAGCAGCGTGTGAAGCAACACAATCGTCACAATTGTGGCCAATGCGACTCGCCGATTATCCTCACGAACGGCTGGCCAAAAGGTCATTGCCAAGACAGAGCCTGAGATGCCCAGCGCCATCATGACTAGAATCCAACGAACAGCTTTCTGGGGGATAATCCACAGTATCTGAAAGAAGAGGTGGGGAGGGGAAGGGAAGAGAGACACTTCAGAGAGGCACATCTATATATATAAAAACCCAATATGCAAGCTGTCCCCTCAGGAGTTTGAATGGGAGACCGACCGGGAGTTCAATCACTCACTATGACGTGTGCTGACCACCAGGAGGCAGCACAGAACATGGTGGGTGACCAGTGGTGGTGGCAGGGTGTTGAGGGAGCGAGGGAAGGAGGAGGCAGGGAGACAGGGAACCTGATTGGCCCTGATCACTGGCCAGGGCTAGGAACCCTATCAGTGCACGAATTTCATGCACTGGGCCTCTAGTATGTTTATAAAGGACCGTGAGCCAATCAGCACTGGCCCCCACTGTCTTTCTGGTTTCTCAGCACAGCTGAGAGAAACACCACCAGCATCAGACTGAGGGAAAGCTTTCACAGAAGGACTTTAGGTCGGTGAAGGCACTTTTCTCCCCAGTGCCCATGCATGGTGAACTTCTAAATTCACAGGGTTAATTTGTGATGTGTGTTTTTTAAATTTATTTTTATTATTGACAGTACCACAGATGTCCCCATCTTCCCCTCTTTGTCCATGCCCCACCCCAGACCTTTACTACACTATTATTTGTTCCCATGCATTTAAGTTCTTTGCTTAATCTCTTTCTACCCCTTCTCTACCCCCTTCCCTCTGAGATCTGTCATTCTGTTCCATGCAATTCCCAGGCATATCGGTGTTAGGCTGGGAATAATGAAGCCAGTTGAATTTTCAACCAAGAATAGGACATCACTCAGAATAAGTGTGGCACTTACTGCTGTGGGGATATAAATGAAGAGTGAATATCCATAGACGCACACAATCTCCAAAAACGAATAGGAAACGATGTTCATCACTTTGCTGTTTCTCCACAGGAGGAAACCCCAGAGTGCGAAGGGAACCAGCCAGGCGTAGGCATAGATGACTGTGGCTGCTATGGACACTGAGGATAACAGGACAAAAGCCTTCAGTGCACAACCAGAGCACTTCCAGTGCCGTACTGAACCTACTTCCCAACATTTGAATCTATTTCACTGGGCCATGGGATCACCAGACACTGAGCCTGGCCCAGCAAAGGAGACATAATAATCACTCTATAAATGTGCTGAATCGATCAATCTTTTAAAAAGACATGTTTTTATTGATTTCAAAGACAGAGGGAGAGAGGAATAGAAACATCAATGATGAGAGAGAATCATTGATTGGCTGCCTCCCGCAAGCCCCCTACTGAGGGATCGAGCTTGCAACCCAGCATGTGCTCTGACTGGGAATTGAACCATGACCTACTGGTTTATAGGTCACCGAACCACTGAGCCATGCCGGCCGGGCAGAATTGATCAAACTTTAGCAACTGTCATCGTGATGATGACCAGTAGTCTCTCATATGTTTTTTTAAATGTGTTTAAATAACTAACAACTAATATTATTAAATTAGTCATTAAAAACTCGAATTCTTCAACTAAAATAAGGCCACACTACAAGGGTTTAAATGTACTGAGCCTTTCAGATAAAAGCCAACTATTCCCTTGGAAGAACACATCCTCTTTCCCAGTATAACAAGCGCTGACATTGATTTCTTTAGCAAATTTATTAAAATGCCCTGGGTACAGATTAACTTGCTCTGCATACTATTTAGGGTTCCTTCTGTCTCTAACAGGGAATTCTAGCTCGTTGATGAATTGCTTGACATACTAGTATTCTCCAGTTTCACTTCCTCTTTAAATAATTCTGTCTCTGGTGGAAAAGGAATTCAGCAGCTCCTCAGAACAGCGATGTTGAGTGTCTTACTGTAGCTCCCTCCTCCTCTGGCAGCAGCACGCCCTGGAGGATTCCTTTCCCTCTGTGGAGTGGAGGATCATAAAACATGGCTGCACCCGTGGCACCAGCGCTTTCTACATAAAAACTAGCAGGTAATTCACTCAACGCTCCTGGCAAGAACAAAGGCACTTCTAGCAATTACAGTCCGACTAGTTAAGACTCGTGATTGTCCAAAACACTGCTAGCTACAGGAGAAGCTTTTTCACATCGGAAACTCCCTGATTAGGCTAAATGTAATTTTGCTGACATATGGCCTTTTTTTCTGGATAACTAACGGAAGAGGAAAAGAATTACTACTATAGCTACAGCTAGCCACTGGGTGTCAGGTATTACACTGAGTGCTTTATTGAGAGGCAACACTATAACCATCAAGGGCAAAGGCTCTGGATGCAAAGTCCCTTGTTCCAATCCTAATTATGCCATTATAGCTATGTAGCCCTGGGTGGAACGCTGATTCAAGTCCCAGTGCTGCCACTTCCTGCCTCAGTTTTCTCATCTGTAAAGTGGGAAGAACAATAGCAGATTACCTTATAAGATTAAATGAGTACAAACAGGTATACTTAGAACACTGATTGATAAAAAATAAATAACCAATAATTACAATTTTATATTGTTAACCGATAAGTAAACACTATATTTCATGTATTTTATATCTCCATTTTAGAGACAAGGAAACAAGATCAGAGAAGCTAAGTGGTCAAGATCAAATAATAAGTGGTGGAAGCAGGATCTGACTTTGGTTGTGTGACTTACACTCTTTACATAAAATGGAAAATTGTTTATTGATAGAGGCAATGACTATTTTACATCCCAGGACTCCCTGAGACTAGGATGCCCAGATAAAGACCCTCCTGGGCTTTCAGACCTCAGGCCTGAGGTGATTCACTCCTTTTCTGTCAATATACCTACACCTACCGCAGATACAGAAATTAGCACATATTATTTATAGCAATATGCATTTACCAGTCTTTCTTTGCTTAACCATCGAAGCTACTTGAAGGCAGGATCTATAGCTCATTGATAACATTTATTGAGTTAATCTCTAACTAAGTTCATTTGACAAATGGAATTGGGACTGAATCCAGATCCGACTCCACAATGAAGAAGGAAAGAAGTGAAAATGGGCATGGAAGGTAGAGGGAAAGAAAGATGGAAGGCTACAGAGAGGCACACACATATAGGTAAATGCACACCTCTATATACACATATACATATGTGTGTATATACATGTCTTCATATATACATATATTAACTCTATTCAAAAACTAGCCCTATAATATAGGTATTAATAGTTCCATTTCACTGATAAGGAATCTGAGGCCAACAGAGATGAAATAACCTTCCCAACAAGGTAGAAGTTAGTGAGTGGTGGGGCTGGAACTTGAAGCCAGTGACTTGGTTCCAGAAACCATGCTTTCATGCAGGATGTACAGCCAGCCTCTCATCAGGAGAGCAGGCAGGCAGGCAGAGGAGGAGAAAACTGAGAATGTGGCGGAGGTCAGTCTCCTACAAAGCCAAACTTTCTCAGTTGAAGTGGCCCTCACCTGTTGTTTTTTGTTTTTGTTTTTAATTAGCCAAGGCTACACTAGAAAGGCAGTTTAGAACGGGAATGTGATGCACAGCCCATCACTCATTTCTGCATTTTCCCTTCTGGGCCCCGACCCTTTGCACACTTCTCTTTAACGAAGTTGCTGACAGCACAAGCATAAGTTTTAATGATCAGTCTTCCACCTTGCTCAGGGGCCCGCAAAATCATTTGGTCTGGCCTAGCCAAAGCATTAAGGATGAGTTAAATGTTTGACCAAATACAGCAGGCTAATTTTTAAGTTGACAATTATATATGGCCCTCAAATAATGTTATAAATATCCAAATGGCCTTTGGCAGATAAAAGGTTCCCCGCCCTCCTCTTGAGCTTCATAATTAGTGGCTACAGACCTAGCTAGTTGCATCATCGTGACTTAAATAACATCCCTATTGTTTCCAACATGAGGATAACACAGATAATGCTACAATGGAAACTTTCGTGCACACTGCTTTTTGCTTATGTTGTACATTTTTCTTTAAATAAATTCCAGTTGCTATTGGTCATCCCCTTAGTTTTACAGAAGACTATATGAAATTTCAATATTGTGATAGTACACTGAATTGTATACTTGAAAGTGATTAATATGGCCAATTTTATGTTAAGTACATTTTATCACAATTTAAAAATTTACTTGTATTTCTACAAATGGATGGTAATTGCTGAGACACTGGGTATGTTTGAGCCCTGAAATACAGCAAGCAGGGGATGCGGCACCTAGAGAGAGACAGGAGCCCAAGAGCTCAGTGGGTAAAGGCACTCAGGGTCACAAACTGACAGCATTCCAAATGAGTCAAACTACTCACCAACCTTTTCGGAATTCGGGTACATAATGGTATGACTTCTCTCCCAGATGGATTAAGAAGTTGGAAAGATTCCCACTAATTGCTATGGCAAAGACCAATGTGGCACATATCCAAAAGGGGCCTGCAAAATTCAGAGACAAGAAAATGAAGCACCAGTTTTTAGATTCTTAAAGAGTGTTTTCTCATCTCCCTTGCCCTATTCATGTAAGCAAGGGACAATGACTTTTTAGATGCATTACTATACCTGTTTAGTGGGGATTTTCTTTTTTGACCGACTACAGAACTCAATAATTCGCTGCCTTTATGGCAGGGGAGATTGGAATGCAAAAGCCAAAACAAAAACACCACCCTAACTGGTTTGGCTCAGTGGATAGAGCGTCTGCCTGCATCCTGAAGGGTCTCAGGTTCAATTCCAGTCAAGGGCATGTAACTCAGTTGTGGGCACATCCCCAGAGGGGAGTGAGCAGGAGGCAGCTGATCGATGTTTCTAACTTTGTATCCTCTCCCGTCCTCTCTGTAAAAAAATTAATAAAATATATATATATTTTTTAAAAAGCCAAACCTCCATAATTGTGAATAAAGACAGATTTGTTTTGTTTATAGCCTCTTTTATTGGAGGATCACCAAATCTGTTAAATCTTTACCATCAGGATAGAGGAAGCAAGTACTTCCCTCGTCTAAGTGCTGACTGTGAGTGCCAGAAAAAAAATAACTTCAACCAGACAGGTCCTTCTACGGTCTAAACGGAAAAGTAGGGCAAGTAGAATGCTTTAGGGAAGAGTTAATGCAATCTACCCGTTCACTATGGGTGTATTTTTGTGTGGTTAAGGCTTTATTTTTTCTTTCTTTCTTTTTTTTTTTAAATATATTTTATTGATTTTTTACAGAGAGGAAGGGAGAGACATAGAGAGCTAGAAACATCGATGAAAGAGAAACACTGACCAGCTGCCTCCTGCACACCCCCTACCGGGGATATGCCCGCAATCAATGTACATGCCCTTGACCGGAATTGAAGGTGGGACCCTTCAGTCCGCAGACCAACGCTCTACCACTGAGCCAAACTGGCTTCGCTATTTTTTCTTTGTTTTTAATGAAAAAAGTAATAAACACACAAAATTCAGTGCTCAAAAGGTACAAAAGGGGATACAGAGAAAAGCTAACTTTTCCTTTCTCTGTTCTCCAGTTATCCATTTCCTCCCCCAGACCTCATTATTGTGATCAGTTTCTGGTAAATCCTGCCAGAGATTTCTATACACAATAAGCAAAAGTGTGCGTGAGTGTGTGTGATTCTGTCATAGCTATTCATAAAAATAAGTTTTATTCTTTTTCAGTGACTGTAAAACACTCCACTGAATGAAGGTGCACCATGCTTTGCAGACTCCTTTCATCATTTTCCTTGATTCATGTACACATGAAACATCTTTGTTTCTCCCCATTTAGAAAAAGTACTATTAGGATGTAATTTTAAATCTAGAGATTTTAATATATTTTATGAATTTCAATTTCACTAATATTTTGCAATACCATTTGGGATAATTGCACTATGACAGATCATAAAATTAAGAGACCTATTGTGTGGGGGAGATGACTAACAAAAATGGATTAGCACTTTTCAAAGCTCCCTGAATCCTGAAGGTGGGGAAGGGAGCACCAACATCTACTGGGTGCTCCAAAGAGTCTCTGCAGCAGCCAAAGACTAAACCTTGTTCACAGCATTATTCTGAGCACCTGCCACCTTAAAGACGCAACAAACAAAACTGGTTTTTAAAGAAAGACCCTACAATCAACAATAAAAAAATTCCCACCCTGGCTGGGTTGCTCCGTGGTTAGAGTATTGGCCCATGCACTGAAGGAAGGACCATGGGTTCGATCCTGGTCCAGGGCACATACCTGTGTTGTGGGTTCGCTCCATGTCCCCAGTTGGGGCTCATGTGGGAGGCAACCAGTTACAGTCATGTAACTCTCTAACATCGATGTTTCTCTCTCTTCCTCTCTCTCTTCCTCCTTCCCCCCCACCACTTCCTTCCACTCTCTCTGAAAAGCAATGGAAAAAATATTCTTATGTGAGGATTAAAAAAAACACACACACAAAATTCCCAAAAGCTTTGTAAAAAAAAAAAAAATGAACAAAACTGACCATGTGTTTGTTGTTGATGGGCAGAGACCATCCAAACACATGACCACAAGTGGACACAATATTATAGTACCATAAGTAGAAAGCAGAGAATGTCACATTCTGTCAGCCTCTGGGCCCTGGGCTCAGTGCTGGGGACACAACAATGGACAGCAGACACATGGAAGCTTAGACTCCAGATACACACCGCCTGTTCACCCAGGCCTGCACACTGCTCCATACTACCTCCTCTCTTCCTCCTTCCTTCCAAAAGCCTACTCTTATTTGGGTTAAGGGTGGGAGGGAGCCTTGATTTCATTTGTAGTATGAACTTTTATATTATTAAATATTCCTAACATACAGAAAAACACAAAGAATGATAAAACAAATCTCAGTTTTTCTCTTTTGATAAGACTGGAAAATAAACAATATAAAGTAGACTTAGCTCCATGCTTGGCATCTGTAGGGTGCTCAGCAAACATTAGTTCTCTCTTCTTCCCCTTGGGGGTAGAGGCTAAGACTTTATCTTTAATCCTCAGCTTCTAGCACAAAATAAGGTGCTCATAAACTGAGTACTTACTCTGTGCCAAGCCCTCTGCACTGATAACATGGATTATTCAGGCACAGAGCCCGCCTCTCAAGAAGTTCTCAAGCTAGAAGAACGAATGAGAGAGCTAAAAAAACAAACAAATCATACTTGGCAACCGTTGGATGAAGGGCATGGGCCAAGGCAATGGTTTTCACACCATGCTCACTGGAGCTCTAGGAATTCCATGGATCTCTGGATGGAACTTCTGGTACCATCATAGAGAGTGGGAACTGACCAGAAGGAGGCCTCTCTTCAGCCTCCAGAGCAGTTACTCTTTTACTGGTTTTAAATATCAGGCATCTGCCCAGCCTGTGTGTGGCTAAGTGACTGAGAGTCCACCTATGAACCAAGAGTTCACCGGTTCAATTCCCAGTCAGGGCACATGCCGGGGTTGCAAGCTCGATTTCAGTAGGGGGCGAGCAAGAGGCAGCTGGCTACTATTTCTCATCAATGTTTCTATCTCTCTATCCTTCTCCCTTCCTCTCTCCCTAAAATCAATAAAGACATATTTGAAAAAATATTGGGCGCCTGTGCCATTTGGTGAAAAGGTTCTGTATCTTAAAACTTCCAGTCTCATAGATAAGTAAATAACACTGAACTAGGTTCTAGTTCTACTTTTTTATTTTTTTTTATTTTTTTTTATTTTTTTTTTATTTCAGAGAGGAAGGTAGGGCAGACACCCACTGGTGCTGGAGCCCTCTCTCTCAGAGTACTGCGTGGACCTCTGACCTTTCTCAGATAGCAGGGGCACTGAGGGTGACAGTCATCTCGCGGCCCATCCCTCTTATAGACCCCCAGTGTTGCTGCCTGCGCCCTGAGGGGAGCCAGCCTGTCTGAAGACAGAGCTGGGACTCAATAAAAAAATGTGCGAGTACGAGTTCTTCGCTACCCCAAACCAATTCCTCCAAAACTAAAATCAACAATCTCCCCTTAGACAAAGTAACTTAATTTGTCGCAAGTTTGTAATGTCATCTGAAGACTTTCAAAGGGCACACTATTACTTATAATCATGGCATTAATGTAACAGATAATTGCCCTTTTTTCCAAAATCCTCTCCAAGGCTTGCTACTGAAGCTCAGAGAAGTCAAACAGAATGCTGCATGCCCCACCAACAATGCACTTCTCCAACTTCCCAGGTAACCCGCACACTCACCTGAGTTCAACGGGCACATGGTAAAGAATCAAAACGGCACTACACATACCGTAGAGATCTGGATTGCTGCGAATATATAACCTCACAAAGTTTTTTCCTGGTATTGGCAAAAGAGACCCTTTTATTCTGTCAAAGACCTGGAAAACAACATAGCAGTAAGTCTACAGAAGATTTTTTAAGATTAATACATCAACCACTGTAAAACTGAACCTCATTAGACCTTTTATGATAATAGTATTTTAAAATACTAATAACCCTTTTACTTTTGTAAGATCCTATCCAGTATACAAACGCTTTCATATTTCATTGCTTAACTATAGAAGAAACGAGTCTCCATTACACATAAAAGGAAAGGTAAATTGCTTTACACACCTGGAAAGTGTCTACATCGAAAAATGTCTGATAATATTCAAATGTCCAGAAAGGGGAGCTTTTCTTCTGTCCAGCAAGTAACTGTCAGAGGTAAAATGAAACAAGTGATTTCTTTATTCTGGGTACACAGGGAGGGTGGGGGGACTGATCATATATAAAATCAGGATGCAGAATAGACCAAGCTCTTCTGCATCTGTCAACTTTGCAACAGCCACAACCGACGCTCGCCTGATAAAAAAAAACAAGCATGGGCTCTGAAGTCACACCAAAAGGCTGGTCCCTCCACTAAGGGCAACATCATCAAATCACTAGACTCCTGTGTCTCAGATCTGTTACCTACAAAGTAGTGCTAATGAGATCTACCTCAGAGGTAGACTATATATAGGTCGTAAGGATTATATGAATCCTCAGAGGATTATAGAGAGGATTAGATTAATTATACATAATATATGTATTATGTACAATAACATATATATGCATATGCACATATATACACCCAAAAGGCAGTCAGTGTAAATATTTTTCTTCCCTCATCCACTCAAGATCCTTATTACCAGCCTCACCTGAATTCTCAAAAATCTGACATTCTGATTCACTCTAAAGTACTGGAAATTTAAAACAGACTCCTCTACAAAAGAAACAAAACCCCAAGTCAGAAGAGGCTCGCAGGGAGAGCCACATCCGTTCCAACAGCACAGCTATGTGACGGCAGAATGCAGGCCGCAGCCAGGAATCGGGACTGCGTCTTCAGTTACCTGAAGAGGGCTCAATACAGCAAGGAGGAAAATAGACTCGGAGGAACTTTGCGGGAAAAGGGTAGGTACTCTCGGCAAATATTTTTGTTCATTATAAAGGAAAAAGACTTCACAATTCAAGTTGTCCAACAGCGGCAGTGGCTGCTTTCCATGGTGACAAACAGCCTGTGTCTGGAGGTATTCCTGGTTGTCTTTCTGACATACCTCAAGCAGCATTAGTATCTTGGAAGGGAATCTGAACTAGAGGAAACTGGAGGTCCTTTCCAACCCTAATATTGCAAGATACGGAGCACCAAAGATCCACGATCCATACTGTAGGCCAATTAATTGTCAGAATTTTGGTAACCTTTTCCGAACACAGACAACATTAAAATGATGGGCAGAAGGTTTTTAAGATCTTCCCCCTACACATTTCATAAACTTTTGAAGCCTGCTGCTGCTCAATGTGATGATTAGTTACACACACACACACACACACACACACACACACGCACAGTGGTCAGATTGTTATGATCTCTGAACGCATAATAATCTGGCCACTCAGTGTATATCCTATATAATAAAAGGCTAATATGCAAATTGTCCCCTCCACCAGGAGTTCGACCAGCAGGCAGGCCGGCCAACTGCCCATGTCCCTTCCCCCTGGTCAGGCTGGCTGGACTCCACCCATGCATGAACTCATGCACCAGGCCTCTAATATTTACACGCAGAGTGGCCAGATTATTATGTGTTCAGAGATCATAATCATCTGGCCACTCAGTGTGTGTACGTGCGTGTGCGTGTGCGTGTGCGTGTGCGTGTGCGTGTGCGTGTGTGTGTGTATCAATTTGTCTGGACCACGGTGCTCAGATATTTGGTCAAACATTCTGGATGTTTCTAAGAGGGTGTTTTTGGATGAGATTTACATTTAAGTCAGCGAACTTTTTTTTTTTTTTTTTTTTGTATATTTTATTTTTTACAGAGAGGAAGGGAGAGAGATAGAGAGCTAGAAACGTCGATGAGAAAGAAACATCGACCAGCTGCCTCTTGCACATCCCCTACCAGGGCTGTGCCCGCAACCAATGTACATGCTCTTGACCGGAATCGAACCTGGGACCTTTCAGTCCGCAGACTGACGCTCTACCACAGAGTCAAACCGGTTTCGGCAAAGTCAGCGAACTTTTTGAGTAAAGCAGATTGCCCTCCAAAATGTGGGTGGACCTCAGCCAACCAGGTGAAGGCCTGAAGAGAACGAAAGGCCGACCTGCTGAGCAAAAGGGACTTCTCCAGTAGGCTGCCTTCAGACTTCAGCGGCAACACTAGCTCTTCCAGGTTCTATAGCAGATGCCTTTGGACTTGAACCCCAACGTTTTCCTGAGTCTCCAGCTTATTAGCCTCCTCCATCAGATTTTGGACTTGCCAAGCATCTACAATCATGTGGACCAATTCTCTAACATAAATATCAGTTTCTATGTATGCACATCCTATTGGTTCTATTTCTCTGGAGAACCGTGACTATTACATTTAACTATACCAGTAGTTGGCAAACTGCGGCTCATGAACCACATGTGGCTTGCCGCTCTGTTGACTGAGTTTGCTGACCACTGGGATAGGGGCTTAATCACAAGGAACAACAATAGCCTGTAATATTGGAATCGAGAGTCTAGGTCAGTGGTCGGCAAACTCATTAGTCAACAGAGTGGCAACCCGTGGCTCACAAGCTGCATATGGCTCGTGAGCCGCAGTTTGCCGATCACTGAACTATACTAATAATTAACCACTCCTGTCTCCTGAGGGTGCCAACCACTTTAATAAGCACTTAAAATACACCAACTCCAGTATGTAGGGGAGGAGCACAGGCTCGGGACTCAGACTGCACTGGTTTAAAGTTCCTTCTCCTACCTGCCTGTTATGGGGCAAGTTACTTAAACTCTACGTCTCAGATTTCTCATTTGTAAAATGAGGATAAGGATAGTTCCTGGCATTCAAGATTGTTTTGAGGATTAAATAAGATGATCCAAGTTAAGAACTTTAAATGGTGTCAGGCAGCTACTAAACACTGAATAAATATTAACTATTGTGATGATAATGATGACATATTGTCTTCTTACATTTCAGAGGAGGAAACCTAAACTTCAGGAAGTTAAAGTACATTACCCAAGACCACATAGCTATTACTACTATACCAAACCAGGATTCACAGTTAGGGTGCTAAATCTCAGCTTTTTTCATAACACCTTGTATTTAATGGCATTTGATTTAGCATACACGTTGGTAATTATTTTGGTATTTCATGGAGTTTCACAAAGAGCACTGACAACCAAGAGCTCCACTATTTTAATAAGCCTGGATGGAACCCACTGCTCTAAATTGGGTGCTCCCCTAGTGCACTACAGTCATGATTCCATTTACAAACTATTACTAGAAATATGACTTTCCTGGAACACAACAGTGCACATGGAAATAAGTTTTTGTGATTAAAAAAAAAAAAAAAGCCACCTGACAGTCACCATCCAACCAGGTGCAAGAACCTAGACATCTCCCTTGAAAACTCCCTCTCATGCTCTCACCCCTTTGTCACCAAGTCCTACTGAGCCCATCTCCTAAACATGTGTGTCCAACTCTAGTTCAGGCTTCATCACTTCTAGCCTAGACCAGTGGTCGGCAAACTCATTAGTCAACAGAGCCAAATACCAACAGTACAACAATTGAAATTTCTTTTGAGAGCCAAATTTTTTAAACTTAAACTTCTTCTAACGCCACTTCTTCAAACTAGAATCGCCCAGGCCGTGGTATTTTGTGGAAGAGCCACACTCAAGGGGCCAAAGAGCATCAGTTTGCCGACCACAAGCCTAGACCACTTCGATAGTCTCCTACCTGGTCTTCTAGCCTCCAGTCCATCTCCCTCCAATTTATATTCCACACGGCTGCCATACCTTAAATATCTTTAAACCTATCTGGCCATATTGTTTGCAGTCTTTTAGTAGTTCCAGATAGTTTTCAGAATATTCATGTTCACTGGGTTGAGTCCTTGCCTATCAGTGTCGCCTCATCTCCTGTCTTCAGCTATATTTTGTTCCCCATGCATGTGAAAATGGGAGAATGGGAGATGTATTATCTGAACTGCCTACATCATCCGTCTCTGCCTTCTTCCACTGGCTACCGCCTGCTCTATCATCAAGACTCAGTTAAGTGTCACCATCTCCAGGAAGCCTTCTGTCACCCCTTTCTCTCTGCTCCCACAACCCTGGTGCTCCCCCACCCAGTGTGCTTCCCACAGATGACAACAATCTGTTTGCCTATTTGTTTATCCCTCCCAAAGCGGGGACCACGTGTGATGCCACTTTGTGTTGCCACTGCCTGGCACTCTACCTGGCACATAGGAGAGAGTAAATAAATGCATGAACATGTGTGTTTTTTTCAAAAATAAAAAACAGGGAAGAGAACCAAGATGGCAGCCTAGGTAAACACCTAAGCTGCCGCCTCTCACAACAATTCAAAAACAACAACAAAAATCAGAATGGACTTCATCCAAAAACACAGGAAAGCTGGCAGAATGGGAAATCTACAACTAGAAAGAAGGAGAGAGGCTCACGGATCAGATTGGGAGCCGCAAAGTACTGAGGTAGGGAGACGCTCACGAGCAGGGAGACGCTGGCTGGCAGGAGGGGAAAGGAAGTCCCAATTGCATTGAACCCTTTCTGACTATATTGAACCCCAACCCCGGCCGAAACCTTGTGAACCCAGGCTCATACGGGTAGAGTCTGGACTGTAGAGAAAGGCACCTGGAGACTCGGAGATTGGGAGACCTGGGGACCCGGGAGCCACAGCAGGCAGGGTCTGCAGTTGCATGCGAGTGAGTACGCACAGAGGTCTGACCACGGAGGTTGCTTCTGCCTCTTCATAGCAGAGTCAGAAGCTTCAGACTACAGAGACCCATCCCAATTCCGGGCGAGCCCCTGGGGCACCCACACTCTTGCACGGGGAATCTGGAATGGTCAGGCAGAAACTCAGGGGAGCCGTGAAAGGCAGAGGTCAGGTGGAAACTCACTGACGGGAAGCCAAGATTGTCAGCTCAGCCCTGAGACTCCGCCCCATCCAAGATGAGCACAGAGGCTTCTGCAATTTTGTAAGTCTCATTCTATAAGGCTGTCTCCAATACAGAAGGTATCCCAGAGTAGACACAGCTGATACCCACATCCAATTGGTCAATTCCTCCCATGGATACCAACAACAATAAAGACTTAGCTATAACAAGGCTGTACACGCAGTCCACAAAGGGGAGCACCAAGAGTGTCTACCTCAGATAACTGAGGAGGCTGATCCACTGGGCCATAGAGGACACCAAACACACAAAGCCATCCTACCAATTCTGGGAAGCAGCGAAAATGCCAAGACAAGGAAATAGATCTCAAATGAAAGAGATGGAGGAGAACAAAAGACTGGATATAGAGTTCAAAACCACGGTTATAAGGTTTTTCAAGAATTTCCTAGAAAAGGCCGATAAATTTATTAAGACCCAAGTAGAGCCGAAACCGGTTTGGCTCAGTGGTAGAGCGTCGGTCTACGGACTAAAAGGTCCCGGGTTCGATTCTGGTCAAGGGCATGTATCTTGGTTGCGGGCACATCCCCAGTAGACAGCTGGTCGATGTTTCTCTCTCATAGACGTTTCTAGCTCTCTCTCTCTCTCCCTTTCTTTCTGTAAAATATCAATAAAATATATTAAAAAAAAAAAAAAGACCCAACTAGAAATTAAACATAAACTGACTGAAATAAAAAATATTATACAGAAATCCAGCAGCAGACTGGAGGATCACATGAATCAAGTCAAAGATTTGGGATACAAAGAGTCAAAGGACACTCCTCTGGAGAAGCAAGAAGAAAAGAGAATCCAGAAAGTTGAAGATAGTGTAAGGAGCCTCTGGGACAATTTAAGAGTACCAACATCAGAAATATGGGGATGCCAGAAGAAGAGAAAGTGCAAGATACTGAAAACATATTTGAAGAAATAATATCAAAAAACTTCCCCCATTTAGTGAAAGAAATAGACTTACAAGTACAGGAAGCGTACAGAACCCCAAACAAGAGGAATCCAAAGAGGAACACACCAAGAAACATCATAATTAAAATGCCAAGGGCAAAAGACAAAAAGAGGATCTTACAAGCAGCAAGAGAAAAGCAGTTGGTTACCTATAAGGGAGCACCCATACGACTATCAGCTGATTTCTCAACAGAAACTATGCAGGCCAGAAGGGAATGGCAAGAAATATACAAAGGATGAATAGAGAGAACCTACAACCAAGATTACTGTATCCAGCAAAGTTATCATTCAGAATTGAAGGACAGATAAAGAGCTTCACAGATAAGAAAAAGTTAAAGGAGTCCAACACCACCAAACCAGTATTATATGAAATGCTGAAAGGTATTCTTTAAGAAGAGGAAGATCAAGTGAATTAAAAATCTGAGGAACAGAATAAACTGGTGAATATAATAGAATCAGGGGCAAATAAAGGGAGTGGACTGATAATTATCAGGGGGAAAGGGGCGTGGGGGTGCAAAAAGAGACTGGATTAAAATTGTATAACCAATGGATGAGGACAATGGTGGGGCCGGGGTGGGGGTGGGGGTGGGGCGGGGATAGGGGGGAGGTAAGGGCAGAGGGTGGGGCGGGAACCGGGTAGAAGGGAGCTATGAGGGGGATAAGGAGAAACAATTGTAATAATCTGAGCAATAAAGATTTATGTTTTAAAAATAAAAATAAATAAAAAACAATTTCAAAGACAAGTACGAACCTCAGTTTTGTCAGAGTCATCGTTTCCCAGTAATTCGTCATCCTCTTCTCTCCCAGAGCCTCTTGGGGGTCCTGGCCTCTTGGGAGATTCACCAGGACCCTCAATGTTTATGGTGGTGGCATCTGGGTTTGCTGCTAGAGCAGTGGCTACATCACCAAATTCTGAAATCAAGTAGAACACAAATGTATCAAAAGCCTTAGCCACACTAGAAATGCTCTACTTATAATTTAAAGACAAGCTATTATAACCTCAACCTTGCTATATAGAACCTAATACAAATGGCAAAAGGCTCTGAAAAAAAGATGTCATCTAGAAATCAAGTTGACAGAGAATAATATTTATGAAGACAACAGAAGTTGGAATCAGACCTAGATTTTAGTTGTAGCTCAGCTACTTACATGAACCTGAGTAAGTAACTTAATTCCTGTAAGCCTCATGTTTTCATCTATACAATGGGGAGAATAATGTTTACTCTAAAGAATTTTGAGAAAGTTAGGAATATTACCTAAGTAAAGCCCTTAGCAGAGTGCCTGGCCCATAGCAAGTCCCAATCTAAACCTTTCTTCTTTAATTCTAATACAAAATTTAATTAAGTTATTTTTTCCAATAGGCCTATGTCATATGGGAACAAAATTTAGAGTAGAAAACGCAGAATAAAATCACTTTTAGCCCCACCACATAAAGGTAACCACTATTAACTTCTGGTATATTTCCTTTTCTCTATATAATAAGATTCATGCCAGAAGATCATTCATTCATATAACAAATATTTACTTAATACCTACAGTGTACCAAGTACTAATTTAGGATGTGATAATACTATGTAAACAATTTTGTATCCTGTTCTGTCTACTGGGGGTTATATAAAAATGTTTTTTCCATTTTTATATCAGTCTACACAATGATCACTTATGTGGCTACATAATATTCTATCAGCCGGGGTTAGGGAGAGTAGGAGAGAGATACCCTAAGTCAGTGGTCGGCAAACTGCGGCTCTGTTGACTAATGAGTTTACTGACAACTGGGATAGGGGCTTAATCACCAGGAACAACAACAGGCTGTAATTATTGGAATCAAGAGTCTAGGTCAGTAGTCAGCAAACTCATTAGTCAACAGAGCAGCAAACCGCAGCTTGAGAGCCGCAGTTTGCCGACCACTGAGCTATGCAAATAGTTTTATGGAAAGAACTAAAGTGACTGAGGTTAATTGGGTGGCTGGTATGTTACAATTATTTAAGCTTCAGTCTCCAATGTTTGACTCTTGAAGCAGCATGAGGCTCTGGAGCATGAGGTCCTTTGTGTAAGTGAAGACTCCATAAACCTGGGTAAATTGCTCCATACCTCTGAGTCTCTGTTTCTTCAACTATAGATGTAGATAATACCTTCCTTACAGAGAGATTAGGAGGATGATATGAGATAATAAATATTGTTATAGCTATCTTTTACTGACTGGACATAGCATTGACACTTAAAAGACACGTCACGACCTTGCCTGAGGGGATCAGACCAATAAAGATATACTTAAATTTAAATATTTCATATTTAAGTACAGTAGTTTACCAGGGGAAAGGGGCTGTCAGAAGGAAGAACAGAGAGTGTCCGGTTAGAGGTACAAAGGCCAAATAGGTTCAAAGGAAGATGATGACTCATCTAGCTAGTGGGATTTAGAAAGGCTTCTGGGAGAAGCTGCCATATGAGAAGGATGGTCAGAGTGGTGGGAATGGCATCTCATGCAGAGCAAATGGGAAGGGCAAGACCCAGAAGATGGAAAACATGTCCCACGGCGGAGGAATAGCAGATGGCATAGTTTGATTGAAATGTAGAATGTATGATAACTGTTCACACCTGCTCTCTTGGTTATTCTTGCCCATCTCTGCCCTTGAGGGCAAGACTGGAACGTTCTCATTTCTGCCACCATCGTTCTCTACTTCTGACCTATCCCTGCTGTTCTGCCTCTGTTCCGTTCCTGACACAATGTCTTCCACCTGGAAAGTGCCGAACTCCACTTGTTCATCTTCTAACACTACCACTCTTCCTCAGGGAAGCCCTCCATGACACCCAGAGCAAGTCCTTAACATGGTTTATAAAGTCCTGTGACTGGGCTCCTCTCCGCCCTCACACCTCACCCTGTGACAGCCTCCCCCACCATCTGTGCTCTGGGTCCTTGGCCTTCTTTCAATTACTTGGGGGGGAAATCAAGCAAACTTCCTCCCTTCACAGGTACTTTGTTTTTGTGTGTGTGTGTGTGTGTGTGTGTGTGTGTGTGTGTGTGTGTGTTTTAATATATTTTATTGATTTTTTACAGGGAGGAAGGGAGAAGGATAGAGAGCTAGAAACATCGATCAGAGAGAAACATTGACCAGCTGCCTCTTGCACACCCTCTACCGGGGATGTGCCTGCAACCAACGTATATGCCCCTGACCGGAATCGAACCTGGGACCTTTCAGTCCGCAGACCGACGCTCTACCACTGAGCCAAACCGGTTTCGGCTTTGCAGGTACTTTGTATGTGCCACTTGAATGCTCTCACACTGTACTGAGATAGGATGGTCAAAGAAGGCCTCTCTAATGAAGTGCGATCTGAACAGAGTGAGGGAACAAGCCATGTGGCTATGTGGAGTAACAATATCCCAAACAGAAACATGACACAAAAGCCCTAAAGTCTAAGTGTACATGGTGTTTAAAATATATTTTATTGATTTTTTACAGAGAGGAAAAGAGAGAGTTAGAAACATCGATGAGAGAGAATCATCGATCACTTGCCTCTTGTACATCCCCCACTGGGGATGTGCCCGCAACCAACATACATGCCCTTAACCAGAATCGAACCTGGGACCCTACAGTCCGCAGGCCGACGCTCTATCCACTGAGCCAAACCGGTTTCGGCTGTACATGGTGTTTAGAAGAAAGAGTAATGGAGCCTATGTGGGTATAGCAGAGAAAGGGCAAGAGTAGTAGGAGATGAAATCTGAGTGGAGGGCTAGATCATGTAGAGACTCCTAAGCACAGAATGGGCTCTGGATTCTACTCCTAGTGAGATGAGAGCCACTGGAAGGTTTATAGGAATGATATGGCTTTCTGCCTGGAAAATACCTACTGGAGAGAAGCAAGGAAAGAAAATGGAAGACCAGAAGGTAATCCAGACAAGAGGTGATCATGACCTTGAGCATGGTGGGAGAGGAGCAGAGGTGGTGAGAAGTGATCAGATCCTGGAAGTACTTTAAAAATAGAGCTGATGGTTTTTGCTGATGAAATGGATTTCTCATCATATCTCTTCCTCAGATAGTAGTGAGATAGCATAGGTTGTGAAGGTCAGCTACTTGGGTGCAAACCCTGCTTTAGCCCTTATTAACTGTATTAGAGGCCCGGTGCATGAAATTCGTGTACTCAAGGGGGGCTCCCTCAACCCAGCCTGTGCCCTCTTCCAGTCTGGAGCCCTTGGGGGATGTCCCACTGACGATTTAGGCCTGCTTCCTGTGGGGAGCAGGCCTAAGCCATCAGATGTTCTTAGCACTGCTGCAGAGCAGGAGAGGCTCCCATCACCACTGCTGTGCTCGCCAGCGTTAAGCCCGGCTTCTGACTCAGCTGCATTCCCCCATGGGAATGCACTGACTACCAAGGGGTAGTTCCTGCATTAAGCATCTGCCCCCTGGTGGTCAATGCACATCATAGCAACTGGTTGTTCTGCCATTTGGTTGATTTGCATGTTAGCCTCTTATTATATAGGATGACCATCAGGCAAATTACTTAATTTTCCTATACCTCAATTTCCTCATTGGTAAATAGGGAGAATAAAATAACTGTTTCAACCCTGTTTGTAGAAGCAAAGCAGGAATTCTATTCAGATCTTCTGTAATCACTGTACTAAATTTATGAGTTTACCATCTGAAGGGTTATTTAACGAAAAAGAACAGCTAGTGTGGACAAACAGGAAAACCTGGATGGGGCCAACATTCTTTTACCCATATGTTTGAAATGATCTTTTTTAATGTATGTGCCAGCTTTGCAATGAAAATCTGTTGCTGTGCCTGCAGAAATACCGAGCATAAAGATGAAAGTGGGCACACAACTGATGTACCTTCAAACTGCAAGTCATCTACAGCTGCCATTCAGCCAGTGGTCTTCTCCCAATTATTAGAAAGCAAATTTGCAGAGGTCTAAAAGGGAAAAATGAATAAACTTAAGCGGATACAAAAATAAAATATCTGCAAAGAAATCTTATTTCAGCATTCAAAATGATATTTGCTTTTCTTTTTAGTGGGGTTCCATAGTTTTTATATAAAGATAAAGCATTAGCCCTGGCTGGTTTGGCTCAATGGATAGAGCGTCGGCCTGCGGACTGAGAGGTCAGGGGTTTGATTCCAGCCAGGACACATGACTGGGTTGGGGGCTCAATCCCCAGTGTGGGGCGTGCGGGAGGCAGCCAATCAATGCTTCGCTCTCATCATTGATGTTTCTATCTCTTTCTCCCTCTCCCTTCCTCTTTAAAATAAACAAAAAATATATTTTTTAAAAAAGATAAAGCATCCGATATTATATAGAAACTAAGTGGGGGAGAGTCCAAAGGAATTTCATCCAATTTCACTCACTATGTGTTTAGGGACCAGGAGCAGCCTGGAGGTGGAAGGATAAAGTTGAGAAAGGTGCCTCTGAGGACAGCGAAAAGCAAGAGCAGTTAAGCCTAGCTCGTGGTTACAGTCATAGGCTCTGTGGTCAGACACACCTACGTTTCATCTGCTGCTCCTCGCAGTGTAAACTGTGAGCTCCTGGGGCCTCAGTTTCCTCATCTGTAAAATGGGTTCATAATGGTTCCTACACACACGGTGTTGGGGACAGGGGCATTAAATAAGGCGGTAAAGCGCTTATGCACAGCCAAGTAGCAGGCACTGGAGGGAAGACGACCCTGCAGCCTGTAATACCCTGAGCAAAGGAAGGTCTGGGAGAGAGCTGCCCAAGAAGCAGAATTGATGTTTCAGGAGGAGGAGCTGGGCCTCAGTGGCCGGGGCGGGTAGGGGGTCCCAAGCCCGCTTGGTCCCAGGCAGGCCCCGCACACCTGGCCGCCTCACCTCGGGGGCCTCGGCGTCCAGCCGTCCAGCCGCCCAGCCGTCCAGGAAGGCTGGGGCCTAGGATGTTCTCTGCACCGGTTCCGGGTCCCTCCGAGATACCGGAAGCCGGAGATCCGGGGGGCGGGACTTCTCCGCCTACTTCAGGGAGCGCCCAGCTTCCTTAAAGAGACAGCAGCACCTCCAGGCATAGGTGGGCGGCGGCAACCCGACCTACCTGCTCCCTCCGTCGCAGCTTCCGGTGCGAGGCTCCGGCTCTTAAAGAAACACACGCGAGGGGGGCGCGCCGAGAAGCCCCCGCGCTGCTCGCCTCGCTCCGGCGGAGTGTGCTTTCTGTTTTTGTTTATGCCTCTTTTCCTATTGAAATAAAAAAAAAATAGCGCAACGAAGGACGATTGTGAAAATAAAAGTCATCAATCCCTTCCCCCCCCCAATTCTTTTTTACCATAAAAATGTAATAAACCAGCGAGGGAGTTGATTCGTCCATTACTCTGAGTTTGTGAATGAGTGATCCAACACCCAGGAAGTCCGCCTGATGCCCGAGGTTGGGGTTGGGGTTGGGGTCGGTCCGGATTGGCTCACTCACTCCGTGTCTGACCCCACTCGAATACAGGCGGGTCCCAGTAAGCAACGATGGTGCAATTGCACTGAGGGGACCTGGGGAGTGACATTGTCCAACCTGCGGTATTTTTTTAAAAATATATTTTATTGATTTTTTTACAGAGAGGAGGAGAGAGGGATAGAGAGCTAGAAACATCGACCAGCTGCCTCTTGCACACCCCCTACCGGGGATGTGCCCGTAACCAATGTACATGCTCCTGACCGGAATCCAACCTGGGACCTTTCAGTCCGCAGACCATGCTCTACCACTGAGCCAAACCAATTCCGGCCAACCTGCGGTATTCTGTTACTGCCTACACACACCCCCAGGTTTTGGTACCAATTCCTCCTCCTAGGGGGCGCTTGCCTTGGTTTCCCAAGACGTCTTTGCTCCCCTAGTCCCCTGGGAGTATTTCTACCACCACAACCTTTCTTTGCCCATCTTTGCCAGCCTGTGAGTGCTTTGGGGGCAAGGATCAGGAATGATTCCGGTCTTTGGGTCCTTGCTGGTCCGTCTATGGTGGGACACACAAAATAGTTGCTCATGAAATCTATGATAGTTCTGGCTGCTATCTGACCAGCATAAGCCAAATTCACAGATCTCACAAGATGGATCCTGAAACTTTGCCTCAGGGCAGTGGGCCCTTGTGGTCAGTTGGAAAGATTTTATATTGGACTACGACTAAGATGACTACTACTGCTACCACTACACTAGCTTTATTTTTTTTAATTTTTCAAAATATATTTTATTGATTTTTAAAAAATATATTTTATTGATTTTATACAGAGAGGAAGGGAGAGAGATAGAGAGTTAGAAACATCGATGAGAGAGAATCATCGACCAGCTGCCTCTTGCACACCCCCTACTGGGGATGTGCCCGCAACCAAGGTACATGCCCTTGACCGGAATCGAACCCGGGACCTTTCAGTCCCCAAGCCGACGCTCTATCCATTGAGCCAAACCGGTCCTGGCTATTTTATTGATTTTTTACAAAGAGGAAGGGAGAGGGAGAGAGAGTCAGAAACACTGATGAAAGAGAAACATCCATCAGCTGCCTCCTGCACACCCGCCATTGGGGATGTGCCCACAACCAAGATATATGCCCTTGATCAGAATCGAACCCCGGTGAGTCCGCAGGCTGACTCTCTATCCACTGAGCCAAACCGGTTATAGTTATACTAGCTTTACTGTGTGTGTGTGTGTGTGTGTGTGTGTGTGTATTTTCTTACATAAATATAGTGTTTTTATTGAACTGGCATCATGATTAGGCTTTACACATACAATATCTCTAATCCTCAGAACAATCTGTAAGCTTGAGATAATGATCCTGTTTATGAAGAGAAAGCTGAGGCTTAAGTAGTTGCAGGGTACTTTGGTAGAATATATACCAGGAATGAATCTCAATGTACAAATTCAGGAGTGCAAGTGCATTAGACCCTCTTATGGCCCATTTCAGATTCCCGTGGCTTCACACCTCTGCTTCAGGGCTTGTGTCTATGGGGTCGTAGGACTGCTGGAACCACTCAGGACCCAGACAGTTACAACCCAAAGGTGCAGGTGTGGGGAGTGGTTGACGCCTCAGAAGACAAATCTTTGACCGATGGTGTCAACAAATGAATACATGCTTTACCTTTTTTTCTCTTGGACAGATGCTCCTCAGACAGCTCCTAGAGCTTTCAAAATATTTCCCAGGAGCAAGCAACCAAATGCCTTTGGAAGTGGCCGATTTAGTAATGGGTCCTTCCTCCCCAGCTTTACAACCATCTTTCACTCCTGATCCACACTTGCCAATACAGTATGAGGAGCTCACACTAAGGCATGTTGATACCAAGAGTGGCCCCAGAAAGTAGCCCTCAGGATGGAATTTTGGAGCTAGAGTGCTCACCAGTCAGACTGCAACAACAACCCCATTGCTAGTGTATGTGTGTTGGGAGGAAACGATAACACCTAGACTATATATTTCTTCTCTGAGAAACACAGGTAAAAGTTATATTGACATATAGTTATAAGCATATGTAATATTTGGCTCAAAATGAGATAAGTATCAAAGTTAATTGAACTGGCTTTACTAAAACAATGCCTGTCAACTGGGAACTATTTTTCTTCCAGGGGATATTTATTTGGCAATGTCTAAAGACATTTTTGGTTGCCACCGGCTTGTTGGGTGCTAGGGCCATGGTGTTTTTAGACATCCTATAATGCACAGGATAGCCCCCTCCTAACAAAGAAGTATCTAGTTCAAAATATCAATGGTGTCAAGATTAAAAAAATTTGGAGCTCAAATGTCCAGATTTCCTTAACTTGTCTGCCCAAGTATGGGAAGGCAGATGAGCCCAGCTGATGGTGCTAATCAGACCTTTACTGCCCCCGAGGCAGGAAAGAACCACTGGGTGAATCTCCCCACCACCCTCACTTAAAATGGGGGAAGGGAAGATGGTGAGCCTGCTCTGATGGACAGGGATAGTGGTAGAGGAGACATTCTGAAAAGTAGGAGCCGTGGTTAGATGCTGCATGTGACCCTGCCTCAGTCCCCTGGCTTTGTGTGAAGAGGAAAGCTGGAGGCCACACAGCTGAGCCATACTCCAGAAGGTGTCTTCAACACCCCATGGGCAATACCCATTCCCATCAGGTTCCTGGTACTGCGGGAGCACCTCAGCCTGGCTCCAGGGGTTGCAAGTGAGGGATGGACAGTTGGCTCCACTTGAATCTTTTTCTTTTGAGGTCTCCACACACAGACCTCTTTTCCTTTTTTTGATGTGCCTGGTGTTAGGAGCTAAGACTGTTTGAAGCCATGTGTGGGTGAGGGAGAACCGAAATAGGTTGCACTTGACATCCCCGTGACTATTTTGTAATTGCTGATTTGTATTTCTTTTTTTTTTTTTTTTAAATACATTTTATTGATTTTTACAGAGAGGAAGGGAGAGGGAGAGAGAACTAGAAACATCGATGAGAGAGAAACATCGATCAGTTGCCTCCTGCACACTCCCCACTGGGGATATGCCCACAACTAAGGTACATGCCCTTGACTGGATTAGAACATGCCCTTCAGTCTGCAGGCCGACACTCTATCCACTGAGCCAAACCAGTTTCGGCCAATTACATAGATCTTTAAAAACAAAACAGTAGACTACAAAGACTTTGAAAACGGAGTGGTAATTTTCTGTTTGTTTTTTCCCCTACTCTAAACCACCACACCACTGAGATGGAGAGTACAGTGTTTATACTCTGCTCCAGCGCTAAGGGAAGTCCAAGGCCCAGTGCTCCCTCCAGACCCAAATACTCCAGGGATGCCTCTGCCTCCGCTAGAAGCTGTGAGAGGGAAAAAACACCTTTCATTAGTAGAAGAAGCACTTACTTTATTAAAAGAATAATTAACATTAGAACATACTTGATTGCAACAGAATCTTTCTAAAGGACCACAGAGTCCCTTTACGTGTGGTGTTTTAAAGTGTTCCTGAACATTTATCAGAGGGAGAATTTAAGATCTGAAGTCTTCCAGGCCCAAGAATCCCTCAAAGGTCAAGGCACAGGATCAGGAATGATGATAATTAGATCTATGAATCAGCTGGTAGGGAATTTTTCATTCCATTGACAGGAAGGCAAACACCTTCTGTCCCGGTTGCTTCCTCCTGGCGGGGTGTGTGTGTGTGTGTGTGTGTGTGTGTGTGTGTGGCTACTTCCACCCTGCACCTTTGTTGGGCTCCGCCCACTGTGGCCCAGCTGCTGCGTCTCTGTCCATCAGCCTCAGAGCCAGCTCTGGCTGTGCCGAGATGGGGCTGCTTCAGCCAGGGCTGTGGCTGAAGAGGCTCTGGATACTCGTGCAGGTGGCCCTGCATGTGACCTTGGGCAAAGTACAGCTGAAACTGTTTCCCGGGAGAGTCAAGCAGCATATCTTGGCCATGAACCGGAAGAACCCGCACTTCTCCTATGATAACTGGGCTCCAACTCTCTTCAGCACCCAGTATTTCTGGTTCGTCCTGAAGGTCCGTTGGCAACGATTGGAGGACAAGGCTGAGGAAGGGGGTCTAGCGCCAAACTGCCCTGTGGTCCGCCTGTCCGGACAGAGGTGTAACATCTGGGACTTCATGCAAGGTCAGGAGGCTGATATAGCTTGCTTGGAATGGGGCTGCGCAAGGCGGGTGGGAGGTCGGTTGGAAAGTCCTGGATTCTTCTACTACTCCAGCTGCTCATGCTTTTGCTTCGTGTCCACTTCCTATTTCCAGAAACCAGGGCTTTTCCTGGATTCTGTTTTTCGGAGGAGCATTAGCACCTTTCCTTGTAGGAACTCAAACCACAAACCAACCACCCTGGCCCTCTGCTCCCCCAGCACTGCTCTTACCATACTGTCATTCTGCCTGAGATGCACTTCACCTCCTCTATGCCCTGTCAACTCCTCTGCATCCTTCCCACTTCTGCTCAGTGACACTTCCTGCATTAGGTCAACCTCAACTTCCCCAGACGAGGTTACCCCTTCTTGTATACTTAACATGCTAAGTTTTTTTTCATAATTACAAACTAGGACAGGTGTAATAATAGTGTGGGTATTTGATTAATGTCTGTCTCCCTCACTAGCCCAAAAGCTCTGTCCGGGTGGAGTTCATGGCTAAGACCAGACGTCCCGCTTTTGGCGGGACAGTACCAATTTTTAACAATTTGTCCTGCGACGTTTTAAAAAAGTCCCGATTTAAAAAAAAAAAAAAAAAAAAAAAAAAAGATTCTTTCCAATCAGGACTTTTTAAAAACGTCACGGGATGCGAGACAAATTGTTAAAAATCGGGACTGTCCCGCCAAAAGCGGGATGTCTGGTCACCTTAGCCATGGCTCTAACCCACTATTGTGCCCCCAGGGCTGCTGCTGACTCATGGTTTTTGCTGAGTAAATATTTGTGCTGTCTCTTCTAGGAAAACCAGCTCAACCTATTTGGGTTCTTAAAGCCCTCTCCAATCAGTTTTCTCCTTTTGTCCTCACAGCTGCTCTCCCTGCCAGGACTTCTCCTCCCCCTCATTCCAGATACCCTTCCACAGGCACATTCCTGACCCATGGACATCCCAGCTCACCAACCTTCAGCACCCTCCCCCAAGGCCCACACATTCAGGATGCATGCTCAAGGTCCTCCCTGGGTTGTGCTTTGTGCCCAAGGCCCTCCCTGGACCGACTCCAGCTTTTCTTCCCAACTTTACCTGCAACCTCCCTTCATGCTCACCGCCTGCAGACAGCTGTTGGACCTTGTACGTTGTGGTGCTCTCCTCCTCTCTCTTTGCTGAAGTTGTTGGATCTCCCACTCCATCGGCAACAGCTCAAATCCCCTCATCCTCAGGGCCCTCCTCTCTTGCCACCCCATCTGTGAAGCCATCTCAGATGCTTTCTCCCTTCTGGATGCATGGCTCTCCGTCTGCACCCTCTCCTCCGTCACTGACTGTTCCTACCCAGCCTTGGGTTGCCGAAGCATACGTGCTTTCTTCTTGCCCAATGGGAAGCCTTGCAACAAGGCTGTGCCTGACTCCTCTTTGAATTCCCAAGGCCTAAACACAGCAGATAGAGTAGAGAAAGTCCCGAGGCAGTTGGCTCATCTAGTGCCTTTAAAGGCATTCTTTAGAACCCAAGTCTCACAAATATGTTGTATTACATAGAGTCCCCTGGTCCAAGTAGCTTGGGAAACCCTGCACACTACACCCTTCTCTTGGAAATTCATAGTGGGCGTGAACATATAACAGGCCCTGAGAAGATCCAAAGCCTAAGAGCAAACAAACAAAACTTGGAAAAACTTTGACAGCATTAACAAATTTTCTTAACACACACACACACACACACACACACACACGCACACGCACGCACACACACACACACACACACACACACGCACGCACACACACACCCTTCCCACATTCCACCAGAGGAAATGCCTATCATCATATGGTTCCAAAGGGAAATGTTGACTTCATCCATTCCTCTCCTTTTAGAAAGGAAATGGAGAAAACGGAGAGGCAAAGGTAGCAGAGCCAGTGACTGACTGACTCAGACCCAGAATCAGGGCTTCTACTTCCTGTTTTGTTTTTTTTCCCCATTGCACCCCCCCCCCCAAAAAAAAAAAAAAAAAAAACACTCATGAGCACCTCCTATGTGCCAGGCTCTCAGCTATATGCCAGGGACATAGAGTTAAGTAAGCACTTGCTCCTTCGCTCAAGGATTTACAGTTCTACAGAACAGGTGGACATAATATACAAATGCTTGCAGTTCTGTGAGATAAGGGAGGCTATAAAGCTAGGAACTTTACCTGCATGGCTTGGAGGACTTCCTGGAGGAGGCGGCTTTGGAACTAGGCCTTGAAGAATAAGATTTTTGTACCTGAGAACGGAAAAGGGGAAAGTGTTGCAAGCAAGAGGAAAGCCAAGAGGTTTATTTTTGTTTTGTTTGTTTGTTTTGCCTCATGACTTTAAAACAGGGAGCACAAATGATCTCTATTTATTCAACTAATATTAATCAAGTGGCCACTGATAATACAAGTAATGATAGTAACAACTAACTTTTATTTTGCACCTACTATGTGCCAAGCACTGTGATAGAACCAGGCTGATGTGCTGAATATCAATCATCTAGCGATCAATTCCATGAAAGCCACCTTGCCTCATGGTCAATTCACAGAATTTACTTGCCTCTTTTAACTGTTTACTTTTAGTGGATCAGTTCACATTTTGAAGGCTGTTTATTTATCTGAGACTGAAGAAAAAAGAAAGAGGCTAAAAGACAAAAGAAAACTCTATTTATGAAATAAAGTTGGCTTTCAACACATAAACCCAGAGTCCCCTGAAATAACAGGTCCTGGTAAAATTTATAGTGTGGTTGGTGCATTGATCAGTGTTGAGGGCAACATGACCGCTCTCTGTCTGGTAGATCTCATAACCCAGAGAGGGAGACAGTGTAGTGGAGGAGGGAGCAGAGAGTTTTGGAGGAAGTGGGGTGGGGTATTCAGATGAAAGTTTCCTTGAAAGGATGGTGGTGAGCTGATTGTCTAGGGACAGTGAGGCCTTGGAGTGGGTGGGCACAGAGAAAGACAGAGGAGGGAGCAGCAGAGGTCCGAGATGGGGAGGGGCAGTCAGTTGGGCAGAAGCAGAGTGTGGAAGGCATAAAGGGGTGAAGGATGAGGATGGAGATACCATCAAGGACTAGAGCTTGGGGAGGGGGGAGGTCATGTGTCTTACCAAAGAGTAGACTTTATCCTGAGGGTGTTGGTGAGTTCTAGAAAGATTTTTTTTTTTTTTTTTTTTTTTTTTTTTTTTTTTTTAAGCAATCTTTATTGTTCATATTATTACAAAGGTTCCTCATTTCTTCCCCCCTCCACCAGGTTCCCACCCCACCCTCCGTCCCCCCCCCATCCCCCATTGTCCTCATCCATAGGTGCAGTTTATGTTCAGTCTCTTCTTCCCTCAATTTCCCCAATAGTAAATCCCTTTTCAGATAGTAAATCAGTTACTTAGCATTTTCTCATATCAATAATACCTCCACATGCCCAATGATACACTTCACACAAAAGACATTTCCCACTAGGTTAACCAGCCTCATCCAGGCCCCACCAAGGCACTCACAGATCAACACCCCAGTCCTAAACTAACTCAACACATCCAGATCTAAGCCTTCATCACTTGATTCAGCAGACACTCAAGTTCCCACGAAAGTTTCCAGCCATGTCTGAGAAGCAGCCGTGGGGCAGGGGCAGGCAAGGAGCGAGCTGTTCTGGGCCTGGCTGCTCAGGGCCTGGCCTCTGTTGCTCTGGTTCATTCCACAACCAGCTGCTCCGGGTCTGGTCACTGCCGCTCCCAACCTAGTTGCTCTGGACTTGGCTACTGCTGCTCCGGGCCTGGCCGCACCCGACCCGGCTGCTCCTCCGGGCCTGGCCGCTCCCAGCCTGGCAGCCGCTGCTCCGGGCCTGGCCGCACCCGACCCGCCTGCTCCCCCGGGCCTGGCCGCTCCCAGCCTGGCAGCGGCTGCTCCGGGCCTGGCCGCACCCGACCCGCCTGCTCCCCCGGGCCTGGCCGCTCCCAGCCTGGCAGCCGCTGCTCCGGGCCTGGCCGCACCAGCCCCGCCTGCTCCCCCGGGCCTGGCCGCTCCCAGCCTGGCAGCCGCTGCTCCGGGCCTGGCCGCACCAGCCCCGCCTGCTCCCCCGGGCCTGGCCGCTCCCAGCCTGGCAGCCGCTGCTCCGGGCCTGGCCGCACCCGACCTGCCTGCTCCCCCGGGCCTGGCCGCTCCCAGCCTGGCAGCCGCTGCTCCGGGCCTGGCCGCACCAGCCCCGCCTGCCCCCCGGGCCTGGCCGCTCCCAGCCTGGCAGCCGCTGCTCCGGGCCTGGCCGCACCCGACCCGCCTGCTCCCCCGGGCCTGGCCGCTCCCAGCCTGGCAGCCGCTGCTCCGGGCCTGGCCGCACCAGCCCCGCCTGCTCCCCCGGGCCTGGCCGCTCCCAGCCTGGCAGCCGCTGCTCCGGGCCTGGCCGCACCCGACCCGCCTGCTCCCCGGGGCCTGGCCGCTCCCAGCCTGGCAGCCGCTGCTCCGGGCCTGGCCGCACCCGACCCGCCTGCTCCCCCGGGCCTGGCCGCTCCCAGCCTGGCAGCCGCTGCTCCGGGCCTGGCCGCACCCGACCCGCCTGCTCCCCCGGGCCTGGCCGCTCCCAGCCTGGCAGCCGCTGCTCCGGGCCTGGCCGCACCAGCCCCGCCTGCTCCCCCGGGCCTGGCCGCTCCCAGCCTGGCAGCCGCTGCTCCGGGCCTGGCCGCACCAGCCCCGCCTGCTCCCCCGGGCCTGGCCGCTCCCAGCCTGGCAGCCGCTGCTCCGGGCCTGGCCGCACCCGACCCGCCTGCTCCCCCGGGCCTGGCCGCTCCCAGCCTGGCAGCCGCTGCTCCGGGCCTGGCCGCACCCGACCCGCCTGCTCCCCCGGGCCTGGCCGCTCCCAGCCTGGCAGCCGCTGCTCCGGGCCTGGCCGCACCAGCCCCGCCTGCTCCCCCGGGCCTGGCCGCTCCCAGCCTGGCAGCCGCTGCTCCGGGCCTGGCCGCACCAGCCCCGCCTGCTCCCCCGGGCCTGGCCGCTCCCAGCCTGGCAGCCGCTGCTCC